ATTGCTCACAATATCAGACCCTAGGTTGATTGTGTCATCATACACAACCCTCCTGGATCATAGCTCACAATATCAGACCCTTGGTTGATTGTGTCATTGTACCCAACCCTCCTGGATCATTGCTCACAATATCAGACCCTTGGTTGATTGTGTCATTGTACCCAACCCTCCTGGATCATTGCTCACAATATCAGACCCTTGGTGGATTGTGTCATCGTACCCAACCCTCCTTGATCACTGCTCATAATATCAGATTCTTGGTTGATTGTGTCATTGTACCCAACCCTCCTGGATCATTGCTCACAATATCAGACCCTAGGTTGATTGTGTCATCATACACAACCCTCCTGGATCATTGCTCACAATATCAGACCCTTGGTTGATTGTGTCATTGTACCCAACCCTCCTGGAACATTGCTCACAATATCAGACCCTTGGTGGATTGTGTCATCGTACCCCACCCTCCTTGATCACTGCTCACAATATCAGACCCTTGGTTGATTGTGTCATTGTACCCAACCCTCCTGGAACATTGCTCACAATATCAGACCCTTGGTTGATTGTGTCATTGTACCCAACCCTCCTGGATCATGGCTCACAATATCAGACCCTTGGTTGATTGTGTCATTGAACCCAACCCTCCTGGATCATGGCTCACAATATCAGACCCTTGGTTGATTGTGTCATTGTACCCCACCCTCCTGGATCATGGCTCACAATATCAGACCCTAGGTTGATCGTGTCATTGTACCCCACCCTCCTGGATCATGGCTCACAATATCAGACCCTAGGTTGATTGTGTCATTGTACCCCACCCTCCTGGATCATGGCTCACAATATCAGACCCTTGGTGGATTGTGTCATCGTACCAAACCCTCCTTGATCACTGCTCATAATATCAGACCCTAGGTGGATTGTGTCATTGTACCCCACCCTCCTTGATCACTGCTCATAATATCAGACCCTTGGTTGATTGTGCCATTGTACCCAACCCTCCTGGATCATGGCTTACAATATCAGACCCTTGGTTGATTGTGTCATTGTACCCAACCCTCCTGGATCATGGCTCACAATATCAGACCCTTGGTTGATTGTGCCATCATACCCAACCCTCCTTGATCATTGCTCATAATATCAGACCCTAGGTGGATTGTGTCATTGTACACCACCCTCCTTGATCATTGCTCACAATATCAGACCCTTGGTTGATTGTGTCATTGTACCCAACCCTCCTGGATCATTGCTCACAATATCAGACCCTAGGTTGATTCTGCCATTGTACCCAACCCTCTTGGATCATGGCTCATAATATCAGACCCTAGGTTGATTGTGTCATTGTACCCAACCCTCTTGGATCATGGCTCACAATACCAGACCCTAGGTTGATTCTGCCATTGTACCCAACCCTCTTGGATCATGGCTCATAATATCAGACCCTAGGTTGATTGTGTCATTGTACCCACCCCTCCTGGATCATTGCTCACAATATCTGACCCTTGGTTGATTGTGTCATTGTATCCAACCCTCCTGGATCATTGCTCACAATACCAGACCCTTGGTTGATTGTGTCATTGTACCCAACCCTCCTGGATCATTGCTCACAATATCAGACCCTTGGTGGATTGTGTCATCGTACCCCACCCTCCTTGATCACTGCTCATTATCAGACCCTTGGTTGATTGTGTCATTGTACCCAACCCTCCTGGATCATTGCTCACAATATCAGACCCTAGGTTGATTGTGTCATCATACACAACCCTCCTGGATCATAGCTCACAATATCAGACCCTTGGTTGATTGTGTCATTGTACCCAACCCTCCTGGATCATTGCTCACAATATCAGACCCTTGGTTGATTGTGTCATTGTACCCAACCCTCCTGGAACATTGCTCACAATATCAGACCCTTGGTTGATTGTGTCATTGTACCCAACCCTCCTGGATCATTGCTCACAATATCAGACCCTTGGTTGATTTTGTCATCGTACCCAACCCTCCTTGATCACTGCTCACAATATCAGACCCTTGGTTGATTGTGTCATTGTACCCAACCCTCCTGGATCATTGCTCACAATATCAGACCCTTGGTGGATTGTGTCATCGTACCCAACCCTCCTTGATCACTGCTCATAATATCAGACCCTTGGTTGATTGTGTCATTGTACCCAACCCTCCTGGATCATGGCTCACAATATCAGACCCTTGGTTGATTGTGTCATTGAACCCAACCCTCCTGGATCTTGCTCACAATATCAGACCCTTGGTTGATTGTGTCATTGTACCCAACCCTCCTGGATCATGGCTCACAATATCAGACCCTAGGTTGATCGTGTCATTGTACCCCACCCTCCTGGATCATGGCTCACAATATCAGACCCTAGGTTGATTGTGTCATTGTACCCCACCCTCCTTGATCACTGCTCATAATATCAGACCCTTGGTTGATTGTGCCATTGTACCCAACCCTCCTGGATCATGGCTTACAATATCAGACCCTTGGTTGATTGTGTCATTGTACCCAACCCTCCTGGATCATGGCTCACAATATCAGACCCTTGGTTGATTGTGCCATCATACCCAACCCTCCTTGATCATTGCTCATAATATCAGACCCTAGGTGGATTGTGTCATTGTACACCACCCTCCTTGATCATTGCTCACAATATCAGACCCTTGGTTGATTGTGTTATTGTACCCAACCCTCCTGGATCATTGCTCACAATATCAGACCCTTGGTTGATTGTGTCATTGTATCCAACCCTCCTGGATCATTGCTCACAACACCAGACACTTGGTTGATTGTGTCATTGTACCCAACCCTCCTGGATCATGGCTCACAATATCAGACCCTAGGTTGATCGTGTCATTGTACCCCACCCTCCTGGATCATGGCTCACAATATCAGACCCTAGGTTGATTGTGTCATTGTACCCCACCCTCCTTGATCACTGCTCATAATATCAGACCCTTGGTTGATTGTGCCATTGTACCCAACCCTCCTGGATCATGGCTTACAATATCAGACCCTTGGTGGATTGTGTCATCGTACCCAACCCTCCTTGATCATTGATCACAACACCAGACACTTGGTTGATTGTGTCATTGTACCCAACCCTCCTGGATCATGGCTCACAATACCAGACCCTAGGTTGATTCTGCCATTGTACCCAACCCTCTTGGATCATGGCTCATAATATCAGACCCTAGGTTGATTGTGTCATTGTACCCAACCCTCTTGGATCATGGCTCACAATACCAGACCCTAGGTTGATTCTGCCATTGTACCCCACCCTCTTGGATCATGGCTCATAATATCAGACCCTAGGTTTATTGTGTCATTGTACCCAACCCTCCTGGATCATTGCTCACAATATCAGACCCTTGGTTGATTGTGTCATTGTATCCAACCCTCCTGGATCATTGCTCACAACACCAGACACTTGGTTGATTGTGTCATTGTACCCAACCCTCCTGGATCATGGCTCACAATACCAGACCCTTGGTTGATTGTGCCATTGTACCCAACCCTCCTGGATTATGGCTCACAATATCAGACCCTTGGTTGGTTGTGCCATCATACCCAACCCTCCTTGATCATTGCTCATAATATCAGAACCGAGGTGGATTGTGTCATTGTACACCACCCTCCTGGATCATGGCTCACAATATCAGACCCTTGGTGGATTGTGTCATTGTACCCAACCCTCCTGGATCATGGCTCACAATATATGATCCTTGGTTGATTGTGCCATTGTACCCAACCCTCCTGGATCATGGCTCACAATATCAGACCCTTGGTTGATTGTGTTATTGTACCCAACCCTCCTGGATCATGGCTCACATTATCAGACCCTTGGTTGATTGTGTCATTGTACCCAACCCTCCTGGATCATTGCTCACAATATCAGACCCTTGGTTGATTGTGTCATTGTATCCAACCCTCCTGGATCATTGCTCACAACACCAGACACTTGGTTGATTGTGTCATTGTACCCAACCCTCCTGGATCATTGCTCACAATATCAGACCCTACGTTGATTGTGTCATTGTACCCAACCCTCCTGGATCATGGCTCACAATATCAGACCCTAGGTTGATTGTGTCATTGTACCCAACCCTCTTGGATCATGGCTCACAATATCAGACCCTTGGTTGATTGTGTCATTGTACCCAACCCTCTTGGATCATGGCTCACAATATCAGACCCTTGGTTGATTGTGTCATTGTACCCAACCCTCTTGGATCATGGCTCATAATATCAGACCCTTGGTTGATTGTGTCATTGTACCCAACCCTCCTGGATCATGGCTCACAATATCAGACCCTAGGTTGATTGTGTCATTGTACCCAACCCTCTTGGATCATGGCTCACAATATCAGACCCTTGGTTGATTGTGTCATTGTACCCAACCCTCTTGGATCATGGCTCATAATATCAGACCCTAGGTTGATTGTGTCATCGTTCCCAACCCTCCTGGATCATGGCTCACAATATCAGACCCTTGGTTGATTGGGTCATCTTACCCAACCCTCCTGGATCATGGCTCACAATATCAGACCCTTGGTTGATTGTGTCATTGTACCCAACCCTCCTGGATCATTGCTCACAATATCAGACCCTAGGTTGATTGTGTCATTGTACCCAACCCTCCTGGGTCATGGCTCACAATATCAGACCCTGTGGGGGTTCTAGGTGAGATTTGCTCCCAAGCAACCTGTGTTGGTCCTAAGAGGCAACTTGATGGATTGGGTGGTCAGACCTTTTGACTGGTGTGTTGTGTGTTATCTTACATGGATCGTTGCTCACAATATCGATAAGTGAATTGTCTGTCCAGATTCAAAAAAAATTCAGACCACCATCATACAGCTGGTGCAGCGTTAACAACAAACAAACATACCTTTTAAAATGACATTAGTCACTTGAAATTTACGCCACAGTTTCATACCCGAGTCACGTTTCACACTTGGGTATGTTTGAAACAAAATGTGAAACAAAAATAGATAGGTACAATTTGTATTTGAACCACAATATACATGTTTCATTCTACATGATCCAATCACTGATCATTCACACATAACAGTCAACAGTATCACAAACCTGGCCAGTTTTTTTACATCATACCTTATGAAATATTCATGAAGACTTCATTTGTAGTATTCATGAAGAATCCGAATTGAAGTATTCATGAATCTTTATCAAAGTATTCATGAAGAATCCTTATTGAGATGTTCATGAAGAATCCTTATCAAAGTATAGATGAAGAATCCTTATTGAAGTATTCATGAAGAATCCTTATCGAGATTTTCATGAAGAATCCTTTTCGAGATTTTCATGAAGAATCCTTATCAAAGTATAGATGAAGAATCCTTATTGAAGTATTCATGAAGAATCCTTATCGAGATTTTCATGAAGAATCCTTATCGAGATTTTCTTCATGATGAAGAATCCTTATCGAGATTTTCATGAAGAATCCTTATCAAAGTATTCTCGAAGAGTCCTTATCAAAATAGCCATGAAAAATTCTTATGACATTCTTGAAGAATTCTCATTGAAGTATTCATTAAGTACCATTCTTTAAGAAATATTTCTAAAGTATCCTTTTCAAAATAGTCAGTATCCTGCTTCACAAAGTATTTCTTAGTATCCTTAGTTATGAAGTATTCATTAATTTTCCTCCCTTGTGAAGCATGAATTCATGAAGCAGCCTTCTCCACAAAGTAAGTATCCGCCACAAAGTACCCCCAAAGTATCCCACTTCACAGAGTGTCCTTCACATTACTCCAGCTGCCATTCCTGGAAAAAGTCATTTCCTTTATTGTCCACCACAATGAATGCTGGGAAATTCTCCACCTCCACCCGCCATATTGCCTCCATACCTGCAACACAACAGAGCTGGGTCACTGACAGAGAACGAGAAAACATGCATCAAACTTTGACTGGAACTATAACATATGGACAGAAAGAAAATGTTGCCCTCAAATTATTTGGCCTGTTGGTAGTCCTATCTAGTTGCACTGAAGTCATTCAATAACTCAAATTTTATAATGCATATCAAGTCAACAATTAATGAGTGCTTAATTATTTCTTAAAGCTGCAACAGCAATCTTGCAACTATTCACGGTGAAAGCAACTAATGATTATCTTCACCACCTAGAGACAGTATGTCGGCTTCACACATGGCACTGTTTGCATCCTCTAGGCCTGGATTAGAAATGGCTACCAGGTCATACAGCACAGTCTTCCAATGTATCAGTTTTGTATTTTCTCTACATTTTGACTGACAAGAGCTGGGACAATTTTTATCAAATGCCAAAGAGCTAGTTAGTGCGTTGGGTCCAAAGCCATTGTGAACATTGTTTCAGTTCCATTATGTTAGTTTAATGTTGCATCACATGTCGGTCGTTGGGCAGAAATGTGGTCACTCCTATACATTTAACATAGACTTCATTCCCCATAGCACCAAGATTGCCTAAGGCTCCACAAAGCATTAATAGTGTTATGATGATTATTACTTATGAAGACTTACGACTATCGTTTTATAGAAGGGGGCCCTGTTAGTGACTTACCAAGTTCAGGATATTCCAGGACTTCAACATTCTTGATGCAGTTCTCGGCCAAGATGGCTGCTGGACCCCCGATGGATCCCAGGTAGAAGCCTCCATGGCTCTTGCATGCTTTGGTTACCTGTGTGGACGTGGAGTTTGGTTACCAGTGTGGACATGGATATTGGTTACCTGTGTGGACATGGGATTTGATTACCTGTGCGGGAGTTTAGTTACCTGTGTGGGGGTTTGGTTACCTGCGTCAACATGGAGTTGGTTACCTGTGTGGACATGGTGTTTGGTTACCTGTGTGGACGCCGTGTTTGGTTACCTGTGTGGACATGGTGATTAGTTACCTGTGTGGACGTGGAGTTTGGTTACCTACCTGTGTGGGAGTTTGGTTACCTGTATGAATATAGAGTTTGGTTACCTGCGTGGACTTGGAGTTTGGTTACCTGTGTGGACATGTTGTTAGGTTACCTGTGTGGACATGGTGCTTGGTAACCTGTGTGGACATAGAGTTTGGTTACCTGTGTTGAAGTGGAGCTTGGTTACCTGTGTGGATGTGGTCTTTGGTTACCTGTATGGACATGGAGTTTGGTTACCTGTTTGGATGTGGAATTTGGTTACCTGTGTGGGCATGGAGTTTGGTTACCTGTGTGAACATGGAGTTTGGTTACCTGTGCGGACGTGGAGTTTGGTTACCTGCACGAGTTTGGTTACCTGTGTGGACATGGGGTTTGGTTACCTGTGTGGATGTGGTGTTTGGTTACCTGTGTGGACATGGAGTTTGGTTACCTGTGTGGACGTGGTGTTTGGTTACCTGTGTGGACATGGTGTTTGTTTACCTGTGTGGACATGGAGTTTGGTTACCTGTGTGGATGGGGAGTTTGGTTACCTGTGTGGATGTGGAGTTTGGTTACCTGTCTCGACATGGAGTTTGGTTACCTGTGTGGAAGTGGAGTTTGGTTACCTGCGTAGGAGTTTGGTTACCTGAGTGGACATGGAGTTTGGTTACCTGTGTTGGAGTTTGGTTACCTGTGTGGACATGGGGTTTGGTTACATTTTTCCATGAGCTAGATAAAAAGCAGTTCTTACTTAGAGAGTTTGTCCTTTCATCTCCATTGAAATTGATTAAAACCTTTTCAATTTCTAAAAGTTTATTTTATGAATCAAACTGTGAATTTAGCATTAAAGATTTGAGGTTTACAGAGGATGAACAAAGTTTATCACTATAGCTCACCTGGCGACTGCGGTTGCCCTTGGCCAACATGACCTTGCTGCCCCCTGCAGCTTGGAAGGCGTTCACATAGGAGTCCATCCTGCCTGCTGTCGTCGGCCCAAATGATCCACTTGCATATCCCTGGGTCATACACAATATACAATTTATCGTCAGTCCAAACAATCTGCTTGCATATCCCTGGATCATACACATACATTTTAGTAAAATCTAAATATTTTTTACATTTGTATACTTATCCTGCATTACTCCTTAATGCATTCACTGCTTACTTACGACAACTAGAAGGACAGCGCTGGGAAGGTCCTGGGTGAAGAAATAAAGTTGTTGTTCTCAAGTCCCAATCAGTGGCCTTCCGTCGCTGTCCTGTGACCTTGATGACACCTAAGGTCATCTTCACATCACTGCCTGTCGCCCAAGCTCTTAGAAAAACATACTTTTGAGGTTTCTGAAGCCAAAGTGGGGAGGCAAGTCTAACGACGGGTGGGCCTTAAGCGTAGTAATGCAGGATAAGTATACAAATGTAAAAAATATTTAGATTTTACTAAATTTTTTACTTATCCTGCATTACTCCTTAATGCATCTGTATCGGACGGTTTGGAGGTGGGTCAACCTTCAGAATACAGAAACCTCAATAATTCACACCCTGCAATACGACCCCATTTGGTCGATAAACCGTGAAGCGGAAAAGTTCAGACAAAAACGCCATTACGGTAGGGTTGTTCAAAAATCAAAAACATTGAACATAGGAATTAAAGAGAAATTCCCTATACACGCTTAGTAATAAAGAAAATAATAGCTATTCAGCTAATTCTTTACTTACTGCGTCATAGAGCCGTCGCTGACAAACAAGATTGTCTAATATTCTTCCACTGGTGGCGACTGAGTGACTGCACATGGAAGTTGACTGGCTCTGTATAGGGCGAGTTCATTATTTGCGTCAGTGGTTGGCAATCTGCAGGATAACAACCAGAGGGCCAAACTTCGAACGTCTTTGACATCCTCGAGAGTCACAACGCGAAGGTTATGACTAACGAAAATATGTGTCGAATCTCCAGAAATATCCTTCCGTGATTGTTCCAAAACCACAATTGCCGTGTTGAGCCCTGGTAAGGCTGACACCTTGAGATCTTGAGGGTAATTCGCTCTCGGCGAGTTCCGTTTGATGATCTCGTAGGCCTGAAGGATTACTGCGCGTAACCATATAGATATGGTGTTTGCGATTATGCGACTAACTTCTGTCGTGGACGAACCACGCCTTGTCTTGGAGCGTCGAATGAAAACTCGAACTGCTCGCACCGAGCCCAGGAGAACTTCACCATGTACGATTCCCACAATAGTCGATATCGGTGGGATGGTGAAGAACGGTCGGGTTGGCCTGGTAGTAGATTTTAGCAATAAAATCCCAGCATAACCCTAGATGTCCTGTTCCGTGCGTCCCATGCTCAAAACGGATCCGGGTTGAGTCGACCACATGTAGTTCGCTCACCCGTACCGCCATTGCTAATGCCAAGAGAAACCATTGTTTCCTTGGTGATGTCCAAGCTCCTCACAGCGATAGCCCGTTCGCGGAGCTCTCTATACTATACCGAGAGTGTAACGAAGGTGTCACGCGCTGGGAAGGAGCTTGAAAATGAGGATGCAATGAGGGGCTCGAAGGGGGCCCTCGCAAACCTCGAAGTACCACGTTCAAGTCCCAATCAGGTGGCTGGAACTTGGCCTTCTGATCCTCAAACCTGAATGAGCATAATATGGCCTGTAGTTCCGTGACCTTAATCACACTGTGATTTTCCGGAAACGGCCAACACTAAGATAATTGCAGCCAATTACGTAGTAATGGTGCTACCTTCCAAGTGTTTTTGGGTACGCAATGTAGGAGGTATTCCTCTAGGAATTGTGACGCAATCGTAGGGTCTTGATTCTTTTCTTCCCTGTAAAAAGTCTCAAGTGATCCCCACTTGTCATCGTCGTCTCTGGGAGAGTAACGATGAACTAAAGCTATAGCTTTGCTGCCCGTGTCGAAATAACCCTTCGCACTTAAACGCCTTTTAAAGACGAACCATGCGTGCAGACGTTGGGTGAGGCAATTTTCTGTTGAGGGTGGATGAGTAGGTTGGACCACTGTGAGAGGGGAAGTGAATCGTTTTAGATTTTTCCGAGCTTGACGAACTACCCTCTCGCCGGTTACCATGGTGCGACCAAAGGAGAGATCGAGATACCTTGTCTCCTTGATCCCCTGTAGCACCTTGGGAAGTAAAAGTGGTGGCAGAAGAGTGTTAGTTCTTTGCCCTTCCCAAGTGATACTGAACTCGTCCACCGCCCAAGTCTGCGGATCCGGCAACGGGGAGATATACGTCATGAGTTGGTGGCCTAGGCAAGTAATAAACAAGTCAATGTTTGGTTGCCTGAATTCCTGAAGCAGTAACTGGAATGCTTCTGTGAGAAATTTCCACTCAGTGGGAGCCACCCTGTCTGGACGTGATAAAGTATCGGCCAGTATGTTTCTACATCCGGGGATGTGCTGAACTATGAACCTTAGTCACAGCCGATCCACTAGATGGAAGAAATCTGAATGTCCTTAGAAGTGGAGAGTGGGAGTGTGTTGTTCCCCGATTGCACAGGCACCACACCGCAGTGCTGTTGTCTGTGGATATAGCGAGTCGGGCTAACTGTAGTTGATTCTGCCAATGTGATATAGCCAGAATTAAAGCTTCCAACTCCAAGTTGTTTATGTGCCACTTCCATTGTGCGCCGGGCCATAGCCCTGAGCTTATCTGGTCTTGTAAGTGAAGACTCCACCCCTGAAAGGGGACGTCCACAAACAGGTGTGTATTCGGGGAAAATCCGAATAAACAGACTCCGCAGACATTCAGCGCCACAAATTGAGGCTCTAGCTTAGTTGGTAAAGTGATGGCCTTGAGTGGATCCTGACTCCTGATGTAAGGGTTCAGGAAAAAAATTGAATTGGTCGCTGTTGTAAGCGGCCCATGCTAGTTAACTCCTGTGCCGAGGTGATTAACCCTAGCAACAATTGCCACTGGCGAAGTGTGTGTGGTTGGTGTAGAGTAGATGACAAAAGAAGTAGAAACTTGTGCCATCTGTCCCTCGGTACAGATAGGATATCCTGGTCTGTCTTAAACAGGTCTCCTATGAACTGAAGTCAATAGGAAGGAGAATACTCCCGACTTCGCCTCGTTGATTGTCTATCCCAGTTATTGACATGTGTTGATGATACAGTAGATCGCCCTCCATCTACGACTCGAACCAAGTGTTCGTCACGTGTAGATAGTTATTGGCTTCATTACTCCTGTAAATAGCCATAAGTGTCACTGACATGTCAAATGGGAAATACTACCATTGGTAGTGAACCCCAATGAACTGGACCTGAAAAGTCTACGGTTGGGATGGATAGTCGAGACTGATGAAGAATCAAACGTTCGTTGAACACAGAGATTGTGGATCATTCTCATCTTGTCTGGGTCCTTCATGAGTACCAGGTAGGTGTGAGGATAAAACCCCGGAGTAAAGACTGGGTTGTGAACCCACTCTACAGCTCTTCTTACCAACAGTATGTCTATGTTGGATTTTCCCAATCAAACTGTGGTCAACGGTGGGGTTAACTCTACCCTTATACGGACACCATGATATAGTGCGATAAGTACGAAATCGTCCTTGAGACTTGTCTCTGCCACTCCCTTTCTCAGTAAGGGAATGCTGGTCTTCCCTGAGAAACGCGCGTCTAGGCTTATAATTCCCTGACTTGGACTTTCCAAGCTTTTTGGGAACTTGACGTGCGTGTCTGCGATCTGTTCGTTGAACAGGGGAGTAGATGATCAAGGTTGACGTAATAGACTGCCCTTGAAACCAGCATCTCAGTTGGAAACGCTATAAAGTCTTGGGTGTAACGGTAATCACCGTCAGAACGGTCTCAAGATGAATTTTCCTGTGGTCAAACTGACGCTGTAGGAAAAACACCATAGTTTGGAAGTGATCTAATCAGATAGGGTTATCCTCTAATAGATTCTGATCCACTGCAAACATTGACGATATTGGTCGCTTAAATCACGGAGCAAATGTGAGTTTTGGAGAAGGCTTCCTCCAATGACCTCGTGGTGTCCCTCTTATTTACCCTGTTATCAGGGGAGGGCGTTACTGACACGAGATGGTCTGCTTCCCAATCGGGTACATGTGCTAAGCTGATCATGTGCCGGTTACGTAACCGAGTACACTGTAAGCCTTGGGCTAACGTCATTGTAGAGACCTTGATTGATACGCAGACGCTGCGCTCAGCGCAGGTCTGGAATGTTGGAACAGCGCTAAGCTGATCGTGCGTCACAGGAGCGCTTGGGTATCAGTCAGACGCTGCGCTCGGCGCAGGTCTATGCTGGATATGTTGGAACAGCGCTAATCTGATCGTGCGTCACTGGCGTGATAGGAGCGCTTGGGTATCAGTCAGACGCTGCGCTCGGCGCAGGTCTATGCTGGATATGTTGGAACAGCGCTAAGCTGATCGTGCGCCGATTGCGTAATAGAAGTGCTTTGGTTGTAGTCAAGTGCTGCGCTCGGCGCAGATAAATCAGACACAAAGCTCAAAAGTATTGACTGGATCAAGGCTTGTGTCTAATCTACCCCCATCATAGCATCTCGATACGCTGGTGCTGTCGCCGACGTCACAGATTATCATACATGTATCTGGAAGTGTCCGGCGGCTGCAAAAATAGGAGCAGTTACGATACTCACAAAATCCTCCGGTATTGTTGATTTCGGTGGATGGTGTACTTCTGCAATCACAGTCGTCATAATACCTGCCGATAATAACGGTTGGGTGGTAATGACAGAACCATATGTCATTCGCTATTCTGCGATAGTGACATTCCTCTCGTCTCACGACGGAATAACTGCAAAATATGATTGTGAGTAATCTGCTTTTATATAGTAAACTCGTTGGATTAGAGATTTACATAAAAATTACATTTTGAATTTTGGCGAGCACATCTACGTGCATGCCTATGACCGTGGATAAAGAGCTTTGGGCGATTATTCCACGACAATATGTACACCTAGCAAACATAATTATGTTACGCAATTAAACCATTGAAGAAATGGTACTGGAAGAATGCCGTAGAATTGAACAGTAATCTATCGGCAAAAATACGAATTGCAAGGGTATACAATATTTTTATATACGCAATTCAATGTAAACCAAGGCTATTTACATTTAGAGATTGGAGAGCACATCCGCGCGCAAACCAACCAATCGTGGATGATAATCTTGTAAGGTTTTTCCCACGACAATTAGTAAAATGCTCAAAGGTATGTTACGCAATGAAACCCTTGTTGATGAGATAATACTGGAAGAGTGCCGAAGAATTTGAACACTAATCTATCGGCAAATTTATGAGTTGCAAGGATATACAATATTTTTGTATGCGCAACCCAATGTAAACCAAGGGTATTTATATTTTCATTTAGGGTTTGGAGAGCACATCTGCGCGCAAACCAAACAACGTGGATGATAATCTTTGTAAGATTTTTCCCACGACAATTAATACCACGCTCAATCATAAGTTACACAATTACATATATATATGTATATTCAATGTCTGTACATATAGAGTAGGGAAAGGGCCACCTAAGTTGGATAACTTTTGCCCAATCCCGTTGACCATATATGTCAATAAAATATGTTTAAATTAAACACAATTACGCCATTGTTGATGAGGCGGTACTGGAAGAATGCCATAGAATTGAACAATAATCTATCGGCAAAAACTACGAGTTGCAAGAGTATACAATAGTTCATATACGCAACTCAATGTAAAACCAAAAATACCAACAAAAAACTATTTAATCGCATAAACATAGGTACGCAATAAAAGAATTGTTGATGAAGCGGGACTGGAAGAAAGCCGTAGATTTGATATTAATCTATCGGCAACCATATTTTTAACGAGTTGAAAAAGTATACAATAATTTTAGTATACGCAACTCACTGTTACGCCAAAGCTAGTAATATTTAAGAACATAAGAATATGTTATACATACGTAGCTGAGAATTGTAAACAATATGACTACCTTGGCAGGCAAACGATTGTAACACAATTCAAAATGGCGGCGAACAACAATATTTTGGCGGGAAAAAAGACAAGCGTCTTTTCACGCCTAATTAATTCACATAAAACTACACAACATGGTGAAAGTAATATGAAAAGAATACATCGTCCATCGCAGATCAATTTTTAAGATTGTAGACAAACTGAAGGTCTAAAATTAATCCAAAAGGAGAGCTCCGCTTGGACACGTCCTAGCTGTGCTGCGACAAGCAGTGATGTGAAGATGACCTTAGGTGTCATCAAGGTCACAGGACAGCGACGGAAGGCCACTGATTGGGACTTGAGAACAACAACTTTATTTCTTCACCCAGGACCTTCCCAGCGCTGTCCTTCTAGTTGTCGTAAGTAAGCAGTGAATGCATTAAGGAGTAATGCAGGATAAGTAAAAAATATACATGTCTGGGTCATACACAATATACCAGCTGTCATTGGCTCAAACGATCCGCTTCCATATCCCTGGGTCATACACATACAATATAAATGTCTGGGTCATACACAATATACCAGCTGTCATTGGCTCAAACGATCCGCTTCCATAACCCTGGGTCATACACATACAATATAAATATCTGGGTCATACACAATATACCAGCTGCTGTCGGCCCAAATGATCCGCTTGCATATCCCTGGGTCATACACATTCAATATAAATGTCTGGGTCATACACAATATACCAAACCCAGATCAACATGCAATGAAAGAATCGCTGTACAATGGCTACTAATTTTGACAAGGTTTACATTCCAGAGTTGCCCCCCTTACTTTTGGTGTTTTGGCAGGACCGGCGTAGTAGACTGGGTGATCCTTCATATACTGCGGCATCTCTTCCCCCTTGTCTAACCTCTCCTGCAGCTTGGCGTGGGCGATGTCCCGCGCAACCACCAGTGTCCCCGTCAGAGTCAGGCGAGTTTTGATTGGATACTGGTCAAGTTGTTGCAGCACTTCACTCATTGGTCGGTTCAGATTCACCTGTAAAACATGTATTCAAGATGGGCAAGGTAGTACTGGGGAATAGGTCAGTTGGTTGCTATTAGTTGGTTATATTATAACCCAAACAACATAAAATCAGTAAAATCATAAAAATATACTTTTGACAATCCTCCAAACTGCTACTAATTTTATCATTTATGGAAAAAACTCCTAATTGTGTTTTCACACAAACGGCTATTAATTTATATTGACATTATCGACAAACTTATTAGTTCTTTGAAGGATGAAACCACTACCATTTGCAAAATGAAAGCTGCTCAATCACATGACTTCGGAGTCACCAGTGGACACCCCTGATCACCACACTCTTCTCCTCACATTTCACTGCAAATATTTGTGGGTTTACAAAGATGACAGAGTCTGTTTGAAACTAGTGTCACCCCATCAAGTACAAATACTAGTCCTGGCTTCTTTGTTAAATAAGTGAAATATGAGTGTGGTCACATGGTTTTGGTGTACATGCATGGCTCAGGGGTGTGTTCAGGTGAGCTTTTTTTGCTGTCCTCTAGGAACACAGTTCAGGAAGTTTCAACTACCATTCAGAATGAGATGAAATAAGCAATTAGTATCAGTCTGGATAAGGTAAAATAATAATTTTGTTAGCATCATTTTGTGATATGAGAAGGCAGTCTGGGATGAAGGGCAGATAACTCTGATTGGTAACCAAGGGAAAGGGGTTCCAGGTGTAGGCACGTTTTGGGTTCTGTGTTCACTCTCCTACCCAGAGTTCCATGCCGCCGGCAGCCAGCCAGCATAGTACCTCTGCCACAGGCCAGCGCCATGTGACGATTCGTCACATCTTTCACAGTCCATTCAAGATATTGAATATGCTTTTCATCCGTTTCATGTTTGACAAGTCTACACATTTTCATAAACAAATGTCAAAGAATGGTTACGGTTCATTAAGAAAGTATCCTAATACATGAAAATCTACTTGTTTTTGCGTAGTTATCCTTTGTTTACATTGGTTATACGGCTCCACGTGCTTTCATCAAAGCCCAATGGACAGCTGGCCATACGGTCACTTGCTAAACAATATGCAAAGCGCCCCCAAATACTTGCATTAGTCCGTTCTATACAGATTTCTGAAAAAGCGTGTTTGTTTACAATAAGAGAAAAGTCCGGTCACGTGATATGCAAATTAGCCTGTGGCAGTGGTGTTATGCTGAGTAACCACTGCGCCGGAGTGTGTTCTGTGTTATATGATCGAAGTGAAGAAGGAAATTGCAATGTCTTGTGTCAGGTCAGCAAATAATATTTTTATTAATTTTCCGTTATTGGTAAGTTTTTATCATCACAGTTTCTTTTGTTTTTGAGTATAGCCGTCTGATACAATGTCTTGACCTTACCTGCACGACCTCGCCTCCAAGGTCCTTTGTCTCGATCTCTGGAAGGTACTTGATGGGATCAATCTCAAGCTGTTCTAGAAACACGCCCTCTTCCGTTATTTTGCCAAGAGCCTAAAGCAGAAACAATATTTCTTAAAGAGGATATATATATATATATATGTAACTTTCTGAGAAATATCACTTGCTACTTCAGTAAATCTGACTGAATCTGGTTTCATCAACAACAAGACAGAGGGACCCAAATGGGGATTCGAACCTAGGTCTTAGTTGTTACAAGCAAACACCTTAACCACTAAGCTACCTAACCACCCCCAACACTAACAAGCTCACCTGTCTGTCTGCTGAACATGACACTCCAATACCAACAGGACAGGAAGCTCCATGTCTCGGTAGGCGGATGACTCGGACATCGTGACAGAAATATTTGCCTCCAAACTGTGCCCCAATCCCCATTTTCTGTGTCAGTTTGTGGATTTGCTGCTCAAGTTCAAGGTCGCGGAAAGCTCGGCCATGGTCATTGCCTGATTAATCAGAAGGAAATGAATGAATTATAAATCATGTTATGATATTCACTTATTTTGGGGGGCACAGATGGACCAATCGTCTAAGGCAGAGTTGTGTCACTGGGGCAAGTCAGAAACCTATGATCGTGGGTTCGAATCCCCGTTTTCTAGGTTTGTCAGCACCACAACCATAAAGTATAAAATAATTAATCATGTTATATTATTTACTTATTTGTAGGGGGCACGGATGGCCACGTCGTCTAAGGCATCACAATTCACAATACAGTGTTGCGTCCCTTGGGCACACCAGAACCTATTATTGGTTCGAATCCCAGTTTTCCTCGTATCTGTTTCTAGGCTTGTCAGCACTATACCCATGTTCGTCGGTTTCACCAAGGTGGTAAACTTCCTAGACCTGCATCGCTTTAGGCTTTCCTCTCACATTAAGCTGACACGCCTTGATATAACTGGAATAATGTTAAAAGCAGCGTTAACCCCAACTCACTCACTCTTTGTTAAATAAGTGAAATAAGAGTGTGGTCACATGGTTTTGGTGTACATGCATGGCTCACTCACCCACCCACCCACCCACCCACTCACTCACTCACTCACTTGTGAGCCCATCAAGAGTGTGGATAATGAGTGAGTGAGTGAGTGAGTATGGTTTTACGCCGCTTTTAGCAATATTCCAGCAATATCACGGCAGGGGACACCAGAAATGGGCTTCACACATTGTACCCATGTCGGGAATCGAACCCGGGTCTTCTGCGTCACGAGCGAATGCTTTAACCACTAGGCTACCCGACCGCCCCTGTGTGGATAATGAATTTACCTGTTTAGGGAAGTGTGTTCACTACTGTCTTGTAGCAAGGCCTATCATATGATACCAGACATAAAATACTGCCTTCCATACACATAAAACTGAGATTAGACGCAAAAGAATTGGCTGTTGGAATCATTAAAACTACTTCAATTGCACTCATTTACTTTTAACTGACATGTTCTATTCTAATAATAAAAAGAAGTTTGCAGTCAGGTTTTTGTCAACCCCAAAAGATTATTGCCCAAAGTCCCCGGTCCCCACGGACAGACAGAACAATGTCTCGGATAACGTATGGTCACCTGATGAGGGGAGTGTGTCCAGGTAGCGTGTCGAGGCCAGCTTGACTGTTTTCAGCGTGAGTTCTGCTGACGTTCCTCCGATAACAATGGCCAGATGATAGGGAGGGCAGGCTGCTGTACCTAATGTCTGACCAAAGAATAGCAAATAACATTTTGCAATGGAGGCGTCTTTTAATCCTCGAATTACCATGTTTAACACACTGTCATCAAATTTCTGATGAAATGCCCAACCTGCAAAGCAGATCAGCATGGGACTAATTGGGACCCCGTGAAATGTCATTCAACAAAACACTTCAAGCAGCATGAAACTTTAATAATCTTTCTTTTAAATAGGGTCTGGTCATTTATTAAACAGATGGGTGGGTTGGTGGGATTGCTCTCAGGACTGTGTAATGTTGTACGACAAAAACCCATCACAAATGTCCTCCACATGTCTACCATGAAACATTTTGAAAGCATAACTAAGGCCTTGACTGCTGAAACCCTGATAAAACAACTTTTTGGAAAAATAAGGTATGACATTCTTTGAAATATTTGTAGAAAGGGCATGCTGTGAAATGAAGACACCAAAAGCTGGAGAGAGAGAGCGAAGATTTTACTCTCTGTACCCCTGTCATGCTTGTAGAGGTCCAAACCCAGATATTTTGCTACCCAAATTATCTGTCATAAACTTATAGTTTTGTGAGAATTAATGAGGTACCATATTTGACGTAATAAGCGCCCCGCTCTAATAAGCGCCCACAGCAATATTTGCTAATATATTGGCTAGTGAACAATCACAATTAGCACAAGACTTATTTATTCGTGTATAATACGCACTCGTGTGTTATATGCACCCTTAATCATGGGCAATTAAATTCTGGAAAAATATATCTGTCGTTTATAAACATTTCAGGGTGTCAGCATAAGTCACGAAATTTTTCTTTTAACCCTGTTTTTTTTCACCAAAATAATATTCTAATAAGAGCCCCCTACTTCTAATTTTGAGAGCGCCCTAGGCGCTTCTTACATCAAATACGGTAAATATGATCGCTCACTTTGAACACTGTCACACAAATAAAGACAAAGATGCATTAAAAACTGAAGAAAGAGAAACAACATCAAAATGGCTTGGGGCATCTCTGTACAGTCCTTACATTTTTTTATTACTAACCTTAATTTTTTCATCGACAAACTTCATAAGTCTTTCAGGATTTAGCAAAGCTTTTGTTTGTTGATAGAGAAAAGTCTTATTTGCTGAGCCACCTCCCTTGGCCATAAACAGGAAGTCGTACTGAGAGGAGTCAGTGGCGTACAGCTCGATCTGGGCCGGCAGGTTTGTCTTGGTGTTGACCTCGTTAAACATGTCCAGTGGCGCCACCTAGGAGGATATTCATGTTTGTACAGGGGGTGAAATTCCTTGTATTAGAGTGCCAATAGCTTGGTCAGAATCAATGGGACTGTGAAATAGCGAAACTGAGAAGTAATATATTTTAACACAAAATGATCATTTAATGATGCCATAAATGAACTTCCGTACAAGTTAACTTGATGAACACATGAAAATGAACCTAAACCTGTTAATACAGAAATTGAGGAAAAGAAAAGGAAGGGGCTGGAGTAATTGCACTGATTTCCTCAAAGCCTGTGATGTCTTAAAGTTCCTCCATGTATTTCCACTCCCAAAACATATCTGCCAGACATCAAGACAAGTTCTTTAGATCCAACAAGTATCCCTGTCACAGGATTGTACAACTACCAGTGAATGATCCATCTATGGTTCGCAATTACCTCAAATATGACCTTGACCTTTGATGGACATAGCACCAACACTTTCTGTGATAGGACTTGTAAAGATACAAGCCACAAAAACATGTAAACTGACCTTGACCGTTGACTTATTTGGACCAATACAGGGCGCCATCCTAGAGAAGGTATATGCCAAGCATAATGATAAATGCCTTAATATATTTTGAGAAAGTCTCATGACCTTGACCTTTGACCTTCTCATGACATTTTGCCCAAAGAATACCCCAGTGTCATTTGAAAAAATAAGTCTGAATGTCAATAATCTCTGTGTACTAGACAACAGAAATATAATCGACAGTTCCAGCAGAGCTTAAATTCCAACAAATCCTTCACGAGGCTGCTTATTTGAACCAAGTAGTTCATTGTGTTGAAGATGGATATTCTAGTTGTTGGCACAACTCTTACAAAGGGCACACTTAAATATTTTTATGGGTCCCCTGTGGCAAACTTGAAACATATACTGTAAAACAGGAAATTAATGCGAGCAGGGTCGGAGGGTCGGAGGGTCGCATTAATTTTATGCGCATTAATTTTTCAAATAACAAAGTCACCTACACAAAGTGAAGTTGAGTAGTGGTCAGTTCACATCCTGTCAAGCAGCCCAGATTGGCGCCAGCCACGAATTATCCGATCAGTGTCCCTTACGAGCTTGTCAAGAGCAGACACGAGCCAACGCGCATGAATGGGTTTCATGACACTAATCCGCAGGTCAACAGGTGTGTGAGGATTGCTCAAAACGTCATTTGAAACAAACGAAGCGTTTTCAGGTAAGGCTTTTATTTACGTAGGTTACATTAATTAAAATAACACAGAACATAAATCCAGCGCATAAATTTTTAGGAAAGGGTATGGGCACTCGCATTTTTAAAATGCGCCTTTATGTCTAAAGTCAAGAGCTCGCATTATTTTCATGTCGCATTAAATTCCTGTTTTACAGTACCTTTTTATCCCTGAATCAATTATTATTACATGAATACAGCCTGTACATACTAAATAAATTCATTTTCCCTGTTGATTAAGTGTATTACGTCCTTATCATGTAGAACATGTATCGTCACGTACCATCTCAACGTCAGAGATCCACAACCAGGTTGCCTTCAGAACTATTCAAGCAGTGCCAAACTAAACATTGCTCTACTCACTCAGAAGAAGTGAATTTGATAGAACCATTTCTACCACAGAAACTCACCATACACTTGAATCCTACACATAGAAATCCCTCTGCCAGTAGTTGGGGCGGTCGGGTAGCCTAGTGGTTAAAGCGTTCGCTTGTCGCGCCGAAGACCCGGGTTCGATTCCCGACATGGGTTCAATGTATGAAGCTGATTTCAGGTGTCCCCTGCCGTGATATTGCTAAAAGCGGCGTAAAACCCTACTCACTCACTCTGCACTTTATTACTTGTAACCCTTCCAGGTAAAAACAGGTCCCTAGACACCCATGCTGGTCGTTAGATGTGACTTAAAGGATCAGGTGGTCAGACTCGGTGACTTGGTCGATAGTGTGACAGCATACCCTGACAGCCTGGGCTGATTCTCACAATACCCTTCACCAGATTGTCTGATTATAGCTGGAATATTGCTGGTTGCAGTGATAAACATCAAATAAAACAAACAAATATTACCTGTGAATACCTGAGGTTCCTCTTGGTGTACGTGTTGTAGATTCCCCTGGAGAGAGCATCCTCATCCCTCCCCTCCGTCCACACGTACTGACCTTTCTTACCTGGGGGCCAATAATGGAAGATGTCACTGCATCATGCCTTAACATGACCTGCTACAAGTCCTAAGACAACCTTGTCTATTTTGCACCTTACATCTTACAGGGCAACTAAATTGACAGAGGAATAGAAATTACCAATTACTGTTACCATTGTTACAAGACCTGTTTTACCTAATTGAGAACCCCTTTCAAACGACAACAATTATAATAATAAAAAGAAGAACACATAGAATAGGAAATAATACATGAGGGTTCAATGGTGGAAGGGAGATAACTCTTTCACAACTATACCTTGTCAACTTCATTCCAAATGCTATTCATATTTGATTGGTATATAGCAAACATGATCGTCAAATAGTACACTAATTCAAACTACTCACATCTTCAAATGATTCAAAGTATCAGCAGAGTCAAGACATAAGTAAACAAATGTTATTGCACGTTGAAACCTAACAATGGAATACTCAGCCATTTTCGTTGATACTGAACTGATGTTCCTCCTAGCTTTCACCTACCGATGCAGATAGCTGTTCCCGTATCCTGGCAACCAGGCAGAACCATCCCAGCAGCAACATTTGCGTTCTTCAGCAATTCAAGAGCCACAAACTTGTCATTACTGGAGGCTTCAGGATCTTTCAGGATATTCGACAGTTGCTAGGATACAAAAAACAAAACAATTAACCATTAGTTTATGTGATTTTCATGCAGAGAGGCACAGCAATTGAGTTAAATATCAGATTTTAACCAGACAGCCCAAGTTCACTGCTGATAAGTGATGTTTTCAGTCCATGTCAAAACTTCGCCCCGATTATGTTTCTAGGTTTGTCAGCACCATACCCGGGCTCGTGAGTTTCACGGAAGTGGTAAACGTCTGAGACCTGCATCACTTCGAGCTTTCCTCCCACATTAAGCCGACACGCCGTGATATAACTGAAATACTGTTAAAAGCGGCGTTAAACCCAACTCACTCACTCTCTCACCCACGTCAAAACACAGTAATTATAAGTAGACTGAAATATACAGGCTACCTATCATAACAACAAAATACCCATCTTCCCGAGGCAAGAGAGTTCAGCAAGGGTAGAAAATGGACTTTATAGTCAGTTAACTCACTTGCCTCGGGAAGATGCAAAATACCCACCTCATACCTTTAACATAGAGATAGCTGCATCAGTGACATTGCACAGGGGTTTATCTAGGCCTACTCAGAGACCGATATTCAGCCCCTGCAGCAAATGTCGCTGCTAATTCCCAAATTGAAACAAAAAGATTTCTTTACTCATGCCATTGTTATAACTAATGTTCTGGCTTGAACAAAAACAACATTAAAAACAACATTAATTCCAGATTTGCCTACCAAGGGTTGAACAAAACAACATTAATTCCAAATTTGCCCACCAAGGGTTGAACAAAATAAACATTAATTCCTAATTTGCCCACAGAGGGTTGAACAAAACAACATTAATTCCAAATTTGCCCACCAAGGGTTGAACAAAAACAACATTAATTCTAAATTTGCCCACCAAGGTTTGAACAAAAACAACATAAATTCCAAATTTACCCTTCAAGGGTTGAACAAAACAACATTAATTCCAAATTTGTCCACCAACATGGTCACCAAGGGTTGAACAAAAACAACATTATTTCTAAATTTGCCCACCAAGTTTTGAACAAAAACAACATTAATTCTAAATTTGCCCACCAAGGGTTGAACAAAACAACATTAATCATGTTAATTCCAAATTTACCCATCAAGTTTTGAACAAAAACAACATAAATTCCAAATTTGCCCACCAAGGGTTGAACAAAACAACATTAATTCCAAATTTGCCCACCAAGGGTTGAACAAAACAACATAAATTCCAAATTTGCCCACCAAGGGTTGAACAAAACAACATTAATCATGTTAATTCCAAATTTGCCCACCAAGGGTTGAACAAAACAACATAAATTCCAAATTTACCCATCAAGGGTTGAACAAAACAACATTAATTCCAAATTTGTCCACCAACATGGTCACCAAGGGTTGAACAAAACAACATAAATTCCAAATTTACCCATCAAGGGTTGAACAAAACAACATTAATTCCAAATTTGTCCACCAACATGGTCACCAAGGGTTGAACAAAACAACATTAATTCCAAATTTACCCTTCAAGGGTTGAACAAAACAACATTAATTCCAAATTTGCCCACCAAGGGTTGAACAAAACAACATTAATTCCTAATTTGCCCACCAAGGGTTGAACAAAACAACATTAATTCCAAATTTGCCCACCAAAGGTTGAACAAAAACAACATTAATTCCAAATTTGCCCACCAAGGGTTGAACAAAACAACATTAATTCCAAATTTACCCATCAAGGGTTGAACAAAACAACATTAATTCCTAATTTGCCCACCAAGGGTTGAACAAAACAACATTAATTCCAAATTTGCCCACCAAAGGTTGAACAAAAACAACATTAATTCCTAATTTGCCCACCAAGGGTTGAACAAAACAACATTAATTCCAAATTTGCCCACCAAAGGTTGAACAAAAACAACATTAATTCCAAATTTGCCCACCAAGGGTTGAACAAAACAACATTAATTCCAAATTTACCCTTCAAGGGTTGAACAAAACAACATTAATTCCAAATTTGCCCACCAAAGGTTGAACAAAAACAACATTAATTCCAAATTTGTCCACCAACATGGTCACCAAGGGTTGAACAAAAACAACATTATTTCTAAATTTGCCCACCAAGTTTTGAACAAAAACAACATTAATTCTAAATTTGCCCACCAAGGGTTGAACAAAAACAACATTAATTCCAAATTTGACCACCAAGGGTTGAACAAAACAACATTAATTCCAAATTTGCCCACCAATGGTTGAACAAAACAACATTAATTCCAAATTTGACGACCAAGGGTTGAGCAAAACAACATTAATTCCAAATTTGCCCACCAAGGGTGTTTAGTTTGGATTCCCAGATCCATCTCTCATGTCTAATATTCTCCCTGTCACTATTCCCATCTTGCACATCTAATGTTTAAAATCTGTGGAAAAAAAAATTGGAATAAGTTAGGAAACAGAAACTTGATGTCACAGTTTCACCTGGAGATGTCCGGGTCGAAGGAGATGGGAAATGTCAATCATGGCGGTCTCAGCCAGCAAGGTCAAGGCTGCAGGCTCTACGTGAAGAACCTTTCTTCCCTTCACATCAAACGTTGAAACATTATCACCTACGAAGATGAAAAAAATAGCATTGTCACCAAATTCGCATAACATGTTCAAGAACAAAATCTCCCAGGAAGAGAATTGATCCCTGAAGATCCAGGGTAGAATAGGTCCTCACCAACCCATGCTTGCCGTAAAAGGTGACTATGCTTGTCCTAAGAGGCGACAAACGGGATCGGGTGGTCAGGCTCACTGACTTGGTTGAAGCATGTCATCATATCCCAATTGCAAGGATCAATGCTCTTCAAATTAATCACTGGATTGTCTGGTCGAGACTTGATTACTTACAGATCGCCTTCATATAGCTGGAATATTGCTGAGTGCGGGGTTTAAACAACAAACAAAAACAAAAGGGAGGGAATTGAAAGAGACTTGGAAGAGAAATTGTTCAATTAGTCAATGCGAGTTTATGTCATATAAGTAAAGAGTAAGTATTTATGATTTGGTAGAGCTTGTAGAAACTAATTAATTTTAACTGCTAGAACTTTACAATGAATTCATTTTTAGTTTTAGTCTAATTTTACATAAATTCAATCCACCCTGTTCAATGGATACCGTCCTTGGGTACCATAGGAGGACTGGTGTTGGTTTCATGCAAAGTCTCAGATCATTCTTTGAACTTGACAACCAAGCAGATAAAATCTAACCAAACTTGATAAAAACAATTAAACTTTTAAAGACAAACCTGATAATTTTTTCCACGGGACTTCTGTTTTCTTCTCATGTTCAAAGATGTCCTGGTAGAAGAATGGCTTGACATCAGCAGCCGCTGCTGCTTGTATGCCGCTTGTCTGTATCTGTCGCAGGTGCTTGTGAAGAACTAGCCACGCCCCCTGCAGGGCACGACCTCTCATCCCTGACCCAAGCATCTAGTAACAAACAGCCCTTAGATGAAACTTGTTCAGTGTAGGAATTCAGTGAGAGAATGAGCCTCAATAAGAGGTTATAGGTTTCGGTCAAACCACATCCTCGATTATCAAGTGTCTCTCCATTCTATTATTAATACCGTATGCGACGTAATAAGCGCCCAGGGTGCTCTCATAATTAGAAATAGGGGGCTCTTCTTAGAATATTATTTTGGTGAGAAAAAAACAAACAGTTGAAAGATAAATTTCGTGGTTTATTGTGATAGCCTGAAATGTTTATGTACGACATATATTTTTCCAGGATTTAATTGCCCATAATTAAGGGTGCATATAACACACGAGTGTGTATTATACGTGAATAAATAAAATAAGTCTTGTGTACATTGATCAATCGGAAGGGGTGCTAACTGGGATTGTTCACTGGCCAATATATCAGCAAATATCGCTGTGGGCGCTTATTACAGCGAAAGCTTATTACGTCAAATACTGTACCTGACTTTCACTTTGTGTGAGTTCATTGGAGTATAACCCATAGATTGAGGGCCAAACTGTATCAATGTCGGAGCTTGCAAAAAAATGGTGGATGGATGGGAGCTTAGGCATGAGGGTGGGTAAATGGGCGGGAGTATGGGTGGATGTGTGGGTGAGTGTGTGGTTGGCTGAGTGGGTGTGTGGGAAGATGTTTGGGTGAGGGGGTTGGGGTGGTGGGGTGAGTGGGTGGATGTGTGGATGGCTGATTGGATGTGTGGGTGGATGGGTATGGGGGGATGAATGTAGAATTGTAAGTAAAGTAGTGTTATATAGTGTGCTGATATGCTATTTTAGCACTATGTGCTTATAATGTGTATTTTTTTGTTTTAATTTATGTCTCATAGGCCATGTTGGCCAGGGAGTGTACATCATTGTATTCACTTTTGTAACTTTGTGACTGTGCACTGTGGGACAAACAAATAAATGAATTTTCTTCTTCTTCTATAAACACTTACTTTTGACATATCCACTATTCAAGATTACAGTGATTAATCAATTAATGTATTTTCAGTTAATCCTTTTTTTGTAACTCATCTGATGATTCCTCTCTTGCTGTGCTGCCATGTGTATATAACATAACAAGTAATGTATTCACTACTTCAGACCTTGATTTATAAGCCAATCTGAGATTGAATAATTACCCCAGACACAGGAAATTCCAAATGGGAACTTTTGTCATGTAATCTGAGTGGTGCTACCACTAATTATACCTGTAATACATTCATTAACTGAGCATCAAGTGAATGATGGCAAATACACAGGTGTAGGAGTGAGTGAGTGAGATGTGTTTAACGCCGCTTTTAACAGTATTCCAGTTATATCACGGCGTGTCAGCTTAATGTGGGAGCAAAGCCCCAAGTGATGCAGGTCTCAGACGTTTATCACTTCGGTGAAACCCACGAGCACGGGTATGGTGCCGACAAACCTAGAAACATTATCGGGGCGAACCGGGATTCGAACCCACAATCATAGGTTTCTGGCGTGTCCACAGGACGCAACTCTGCACAGCAAATCGCGGCGCCTTAGACGACTGGGCCATCCGTGCCTCCCACAGATGCAGGATTATATCATGAAACATGGATGAAAACAAGGGATTAGTAATTGTTCTATTATATGCAATTTAGAAACTGAAAAATAAGGTGTTTTGAGTATATAAACTGAACTTCATTGTTTCAAAAATAATGCGGACACATATTTGCTGTATACAAATGTGGTTCTCAGGAATTATTTCTTTTGCATTTCCATGGCAACATGTTGGACTTCAAACTCGTAAAATGTTTGTCATTTCTTTGAATTATGCAAGTGCCGAAATGATGGGTTTTGCAATTGAGGTATTTTTTTAAGATTTTGCATTAACAAGTTGAACAAAGGTTCAAATGAGGGTTTCATTTTAGTCATATGTCATACTGTCAGTTGTATTCACAAATCTTTTTTTTTTTGGTAAAATGAGGTATACGACAGTAATGACATACATTGTTTGATTTATGCACATATCTAAAAAGGCGGGGGATATTGATGACTTTATCTTCTTGTTCAGTTACATCTGATAATGTGATATTTAATAGTACACAATAACTATATGCAATGGGGGCTTCATATAAATCAATTGCTTATTTCCAATAGTATAGATCTATTGACAGGACATGACTAAATATCAAGCTATGAAACACAGAAATACGATCCAAATCAATCTCAGTCATCGTATTATCAAAGCAATCCAAAATTGCTTTTACTGCGGGGATACTTTTATTTATCAAACTATAACCATCATAACAGTCAGGGCTATTTCCAAATAACAACAACCGATGAGCTTCCATGGTGTTTGTGTTTAGGTTGAAGAAATTAATTAACATGCGTCCCTTGTAATATCAAAATCATCATAGATCACAGGTAACCAATAAGTGTTCTGGAATGCGTATAGATATTGCCTCAAAGTTTATTTGAATTGTCCTTAGGGTAGCCGAGTCATGTGTCACGCTATATTGCGTTAGCAAGCAAATCGAGTCATGGCAGCGAGGAAGCCCCAGCATGCAGTGTTAGACAGGCGTTTAGAAGGCAGGTGTTAGTCCCCCTTTAAACTTTAAAGGTGTAAACATATCATGCTTAGTGAGTTAACTTGTTTGGTGACACTCGTTCGTTTGGACTACTTTCGTGTGACATTACATATGCAATCAAAATAATTTCGAATTCCTAAAAAAAAAGAATGAATACAGTAGGCCCAGACTGGGTTCTCAAACATGTTTAAATAACAACATAGGGCCTAATAAAGTAATATGATAATATCGTCGCGAAAAATAACGCAGAGAAACATTTCCCGATTCTTTTACTTTCAAGTTGTAACATTAAAAAAGTCATTAGACAAGCAACATATTGCACTTATTGTATTTCATCGGACTTATTACAACGAAAAACTCGCATCTATGATTGCATTAAACGTCCCTGCTTATTGACATTAATCTTGAACATACTACCTTCTCACACTTGTCCTTGATCGAAAATTGATTGAAGGGAGGCAACTCCACGTGAAGGTCAAAATCGGAATCTGTCAGTCAAAAAATAAATAAGTCATTGTGATAATACAAAACATATTTTAAATTAATTTCATCATAATATACTTCGTTTCTGATTCGACAGTGTTAAAATATGTCATAATTAAAATAATCAACATTACATTTGCCCCGACCCCATTAACATTAACTGCGGTCTTATGATGTTTATTGGATTCCAAGAGCGCGTTTCTTGTAAACAGCTGTCAGACGGATATATAAGCCGATTACGAGGATTTAACTAGATTGACATGAATTGCTGTAAAGTGTAAGTTGCCAAATATTGTTGTCGGATTGAAAAAACAACGCGGAGAATCTACGATCTCGGAAGTTTATCATTATACTAAAATGTACCGTTGCCACAAGCACAGACCCGCATAATCTGGCAGAATGCATAATAAAAATGAGACTTTTGATGATGTATATGTTAGGGATGTCATAGATTGGAAAGTTTTGTATCCAAATTTTCAGTGCACAACTTCTGCTTAAGATATATTGTTATATCTATAAATTTCCTATCTAGACCTGCCACTAATCATCTAAAATTATATGAACTAGTCTAGGTTGATCCATTTATGTTTATCATTGAATTTTCTGCCTCCTTCATGTTCTTATTGTCTTTCTTAAATTTGGTAATCTTAACAAAAATAAATGTTTCTATGGCAGTGAATTATGAATATAGTATCGATATTAATCTATTTGTATTGATACAGTATTAACATTAAGAATTTATCAATACATCGATGACATGCCTAGGATGTCAATCTCGTAAATGTAATAACAGCGATATTGCTTTGGTGTGACTATAACATTAAACTGTGTCAAATATGTTTATTTCAGCTGTTGATCCCGTTATACAGACGAGACATGTCAGGAAACTTGTCAGTTGTGGCTTTTGAGGGAGAGCTGAACGGTATCATTAGAGAGGTGAGACATTGCTTTCAAGTTTTGTCATGTCAATATTAGAATTGTTTCAGGGTTATTATCATGAAGGTAATTCCTTAAGACATCCTGCCTGTGTAAAATGTTGCCTAGAAGTAGCCGAGAACTGTGCTGCAGGGTCTTGTATTGACTGTTGGTCCCCCTCATGGCTCACAGCAACCATAGAACAAATAGAAACTTCAATTTTCATAACTTGTTAAATACTGTAAAACGTGAAATTAATTCGTCTCCAAAAGAATGCGACTAGCCAAAAATGCAAATGCTACACCCCCTCCTCTCAAGCATCAGTGGATTTATATCTAAACAACATGTCCTCTGTCGGGTTTACAGGAAAATCCTCACCTTAATCCAACCTTACATTAATCCAATCACACACCAAATAGCACCGCTTATTAGCGCTGAACGCGATATTTAATAATGCGAGCAAACACCACTTGCATTTTTCGCATTTAATTCACGCTCGCGTTAATATCAAGATTTACAGTAGTTTTTCTGTATGTATTTGTTATCCAACTGAGTGCTTACCATATTACTTTTTATATATTTATAACATATTGCAACTATTGAAACTATCAATTGTTATACATATAATCGACAATACTATTGGCATTTTTAACTTCCTGTAGATATTATAGTTCCTTGGACATGCCAGAAACCTTTGATCGTGGGCTCAAATCCTGGTTTGCCCCAATTATATTTATAGGATTGTCAGCCAGCCAATGTGGGTTTCACCAAAGTTGTAAACGTTGTAAGACCAGCATCACTTAAGGCTTTCCTCCCACTTCAACACTTCAAGCTGAAACGCTGTGATATAACTGGAATATTATTCTCAAATGGCATTAAACCCGACTCAGTCACTCACTATTGATTTGGTACAATTGTAGGGCAAAACCCGGCAAACAATGCAATACATCGATAGATACATTGTTACTCTCCTGTCTTTCAGTATCTGAGTTTTGGAGATTTTGATAGAACCGTCAGCACATTTGAAGCTGAGTGTAGTGAGAAGGGAAAACCAATCAGTACACAAGATGTCAGACCCAAGACCAACAAGAAACTTCAAACTGTTCAAGTAAGTCAATGAAAGAAACTGTATGTGTAAGTGTTGTCATAAATGGATGGAGCTTCAGATCAGCTCATTTTCTTGGACATTGCCTGATAGTCATCCATAATGTCTTGAACATTTTTTCAAGTTATTTAATAACACAGATGAACATGATAAATGTCCTTGTCAACATCAGATCTGTGTCACATATCTGATGCTGGTTGTAGCTAACTATCCAAACCATAATGTCCGGGGGTTTATCTTGGATTCCAGACTAATTAAGTCCCCTTGGCAGGCTAATTGGGAAAACATTGATATTTGTTCAAAATTGAAGTGTTTTAGAGTTTTTGTTTTCAGAGGTATGTTAGCATTGCATTCAATACAGTCATGTAAACTTAAGCCTCTTCCTCTTTGTTAGGGGTGGCATGGGTGACCCAGTCGTCTAAGGCGCCGTGATTCGCTGTGCAGTGTTGCGTCCCTTGGGCACGCCAGAAACCTATGATTGTGGGTTCGAATCACAGTTCGCCCCAATTATGTTTCTAGGTTTGTCAGCACCATATCCGTGCTCGTGGGTTTCACCGAAGTGGTAAACGTCTGAAACCTGCATCACTTCGGGCTTTCCTCCCACAGTAAGCTGACATGCCGTGATATGACTGGAATACTGTTAAAAGCGGCGTTAAACCCAACTCACTCACTCACTCCTCTTTGTTGGTCCTGTTATCAGTGAAATGCGAGTCACCTCGACCAAGCCATCACATTACTTATAAGTATATTTACATGAAATAGGAATATTTAAGTGACCATTTGGGAATTTTTACTGACAAATCTTGCAGACTTGGGGCCGGATATTAGCCTCTGAGCAGGTCTAGATAATTCCCTGCATCTACTTGTTTTTGCAGAATGAAATGATGGATCATTTTCATCAAGGAAAGCGGAGGATTTTCTTTGAGCAGTGGACAGACTTCCTGCCATCATCCATACGGGATGAGGACTCAGTGGCCCAGAAATTGGAGTTCTACCTCAATATTTATTTTGCTGTGTATCCCATGAAGCACAAAGGTCCACAGGTAATCTTTTATTGAAATATGTTAGTACAGATGTGAAAAGCTTACTGGACATGCAAGTGATATGTGTGAAAAGTTAATCTGGATTATGTAGCATCAATTTCATGAGAAAATTAGTCCTTTATCCCCAAATTTCAGTTTGTTCTCTGGAGTGAAGGAAGTCCAGATTAGACAGATTATACTTAGTAAATTCGGAACCACAAATTTGAGCCTGAATTGACAGAGCTACCGGATTGGTCTTAGTCTTGTTTTGATAGTGATGGACAACAACTCACTTCTTGAAGTTTATGTTATTCATGAGCATCCATTAATATAACTGACACATCATTCCAGTGACTTTCACACTGTACCATACGTACCATGAAGAGCTACCACAATGTAACAATACCCATCTTCCTGAGGCAAGGGAGTTAACTCACTTTAAGAGTCCAGTTTCCACCCTTGCCAAATGAGGCTGGAATTTTGTTATCAATCGTAGCACCATCAGTGGCTATTATGTGTGATGTCCCTTTTATGCCCCTCCCACTGACCAATCAGATTCCAACTTTCCCATCCCATGTTGCAAACAAAATGGTGACGCCCAGTCAAGACAATCTGTTCGATAATCAATATTGTAATAAAACAGATCTTACCTCCTGAAGTGCATCAAATCACTTGAGCACCTTGATTAGAAACATGAAAACATTTGGGAAATGTCTGTCAACACCCAGTTGACAGTACACAAGTTTTGCAGCTGACCAATATCTGCATGTTAATAATGTTGTTTATGAACCGGATGTCTAGTTTGTTACACGATTTTGATTGGACTATGGATAGACTCGTAAGTCTGGGTAGCTCTGGATTTCCAGCCTAGTTTGGCAAGAGTGGAAACTGGACTTTTATGTATTGGAGAAAACACGCTCACGAGGCTTTGGTAGACAGAGCATGCCCTGGGGAGAGGGAAAAACCAAGGGGGCGAAGCTTATAAACCGAAAAAAGAAACTTAAAACAACATTTATCAACATTTTTATGTTTCGAACATACTTTCCATGAACCTTAGGAAACGCGGGTAAAATATCTGTTGCTGGCGTACGGATCTTGAAAAGGACATTCTAAAAACCAGTGAGGCTTATCAACACCTCTGTAGCCTCGTGGTACACTCACTGGGCTACAGATATGAAGGTTGCGAGTTCGATCCTCGGGAATATAAAGAAAACATTTGTCATTTGATTTTACATTTCATTACATGTTACAATCTGAACGGAAGTTATATTAATAAAATACCCAGGACATTACATAAAATACCAGGGACATTACAACGTCCCTGTTTATGAGATTTAACCTGACTGGAAAGTAAAACCTCATAATAGGTTTTAATGCCTATAGAAAGAAGTCTCTTACTTAATAGCGATCCAAATGAATAGGTTTATAAGGTTAGTTAACACCCTTTCCTCGAGAAAATGAACTAGACTATACTTACAAGTGACGAGAACATCGATCTGATTCATGTATCAACAGAGTAAGAACCTCTGGGGTAGAGAGTTGTCTCCCTTACATCACTAGATTTCACTGTAGATTGTTACATTTCCTGTTTGTGTTCCTAGTCTGAAGTTGAAATGAACATGGGGGAGTTCAAGACATACCTTGAGTCAAGAGGATCAACTCTGAGTCAGACTACAGAATTCCTGCCATTCTATGCTCTACCGTTTGTCCCCAAACCAAAGGAGCACCCTTCATACAAGGAACTTTTTTCGGTGAGTTGTGACTTTCATTGTTGAGGTGATATTTGTTTTTAAATTTTAAAGATTATGAATAGATCTTTTTGTGGTTCAAGATTTCACATTTTATTATCTACCTCACTTGATTTTTTTTTAAAGGATTTGTGATATAACTGGTGATAACCATTCCTTATGTTTCATTCAACCTCATATTGAGTATTTTGTTTTCTGAGCTGTTCAGGATTTTTGTGTCTGAATCGGTATATCCCTGCTGTTATATTGCTGGAATATTGCTAAAAGCAGCGTAAAACCATACTCACTATCTCACTCACTGAATAGTCCCGTGGAGATCCGGGGTAGAATAGGTCTTCAGCAACCCATGCTTGCCGTAAAAGGTGACTAACAGGATCGGGTGGTCAGACTCGCTGACTAGGCTGATGCATGTCATCGTATCCCAATTGCATGGATCAGTGCTTATGACGTCAGTCAATGGATTGTCTGGTTCAGACTCGATTATTTACAGACAGCCGTCATATAGCTGGAATATTGCTGAGTGCGGCGTTAAACAACAAACCAACCAACCAACCAAACTCACTGAATAAGTATTTAAAGAATGTTTATAAAGGAGGTTACATATATCCTGGGAAGACTTACTATATCAGATGATTAAGACAAGAGATTATTACCAGCAAACAACTGTTTTCATTACAGGACAGTTGGATGAAGGACCTTGAAGTTCGACTGGACAAATTCCTGACATTAGCTTTAAACTCCACACCACAACCACGGCTGTTCGATTTATACGTATCCTTAAGAATGTCCTCTATAACAATAGGCTGTGCATAGCTGTGTCCCCTAGCAGCCTGGACCCACTGGTTCTGTGTTTGAATCCCACAATCCTTGAAGACCGCCTCCGTGGTCTAGTGGTAGAGCGTCCACCCGGAGAGCAGAAGGTCTGGGGTTCGATCCCCGGCCACGTCCTACCAAAAGACGTTAAAAGATGGTACTTGTTGTTACCCTGTCTGGCGCTTGGCATTAAGGGGCTAAAACAAGGACTGGTCGGCTCGGAGTCAGTATACTGTGTCTGAGTGGGGTATTCATGTTAAACTGCGGCATGGTATTTCAGTGAGCTAGCACTATAAACACACAAAAACACACACACGTACATGCACGTTGCTATATAAGTGCAATAATCTTGGACGCGACGTTAAACCCCATTTCACCTCACCTCACCCACAATCCTTGATCTGTCAGAATTACCCTGATCATAACCCTTGGTATGTCAGAATTACCTGATCATAACCCTTGGAATGTCAGAATTACCCTGATCATAACCCTTGGTATGTCAGAATTACCCTGATCATAACCTTTGGTATGTCAGAATTAACCTGATCATAACCCTTGGTATGTCAGAATTAACCTGATCATAACCCTTGGTCTGTCAGAATTAACCTGATCATATTCCTTGATCTTTCAGAATTGATAATAATCCTTGGACTGTCAGAATTACCCTGATCAAAAACCTTGATCTGTCAGAATTGATAATAATCCTTGGACTGTCAGAATTACCCTGATCATAATCCTTGGACTGTCAGAATTACCCTGATCATAATCCTTGGACTGTCAGAATTACCCTGATCATAATCCTTGATCTGTCAGAATTACCCTGATCATAATCCTTGGACTGTCAGAATTACCCTGATCATAATCCTTGGACTGTCAGAATTACTCTGATCATAATCCTTGGACTGTCAGAATTACCCTGATCATAATCCTTGATCTGTCAGAATTACTCTGATCATAATCCTTGGACTGTCAGAATTACTCTGATCATAATCCTTGGACTGTCAGAATTACCCTGATCATAATCCTTGGTCTGTCAGAACTAAGCCTGTGCATGAGGGTTTCATCCATGGGGTGTCATGTTGACATACTGAGATGTAGAAATATTGTTCAAGAGTCTCCATGTGTCATGGATATTGTTGATACTTAGTATGTTCTTTTTTGGACAAGTTAGATGTTCAACTGTGTGTCATGTTGTACATGAACGCGGTGGGCGCGTGAGTCGTCACAATTCACTGTGCAGGGTTGCAACCCTTGAGACACCAGAAGCCTATGATCGTGGGTTCGAATCCCAGTTCACCCAATCAAGCGGCTAGGTTTGTCAGCACCATACCCGCGCTTGTGGGTTACACCGAAATGGTAAACATCTGAGGCCTGCAGGGGCTGTCGGGTAGCCTAGTGGTTAAAGTGTTCGCTCATCATGCCGAAGACCCGGGTTCGATTCCCGACATGGGTACAATGTGTGAAGCCCATTTCTGGTGTCCCCCATCGTGATATTGCTGGAATATTGCTAAAAGCGGTGTAAAACCATACTCACTCACTCACTCTGAGGCCTGCATCAATTCATTAACATGTCATCCCTAATGATATTTATTTGGATGAAATATAGAAATAGAGAATACATTGAGTGCCATTCCTTGACCATACCGCAGAGGGGAGGAGGTGGTCCAGGTTCAAGCAAAAGTAAGTTGTCACATTTTCCTCATAGACCTGTAGCTTTAAACCTGACTGACTGCTACCCTGGCTGAAATGCCACAAACATGTAGCCACACATTCTACCCACAAGGCTCCTTAGTGGTGTCAGGGACGGTTGGGTAGCCTAGTGGTTAAGGTGTTCTTGCATCAACGAAGGTCCGGGTTGGATTCGCTACATGGGTACCACATGTGAAGTCCATTTCTGGTGTCCCTGATATTGCTGGAATATTGCTACAAGGACGTATAACCACACTCACTCACTCACTCACTCACTCACTCACTCACTCACTCACTCTGTGGAAAGAGTGATTAATTTTATTATTAATCATTATATCATGAAACTTTTGAGTTGACATATCAATAGTAAACTTCCATTAAATGACACCTCTAATTATCAGCTCCCTGGGGAGTATACAGCTTTGGTGTATTATTGCAGGTATACATCAGATGTCAATGCTGCAGCAGAAGCTGATAGATGCGGAGAAGAAGACCTCCACGTACATGAGACGCCACAGCAGGGTTCAGGTAAAGCCATCAGTGTCTTACTTCTAACTCCCTGTTTGGAAGACACATTTACAGACAGCACCCTATTGCACGCACTGAGGTGGTAACAGTGTCTCATTGTCATCATATGCAGGAGGCATGGATAGTTGCCTTTGCTAGAGGCATGGATAGTTGCCTTTGCTAGAGGCATGGATAGTTGCCTTTGCTGGAGGCACGGATAGTTGCTTATATGCTGAAAGAAAGGATTGTTGTTTATGCTGGAGGCGTGGGTAGTTGCCTATGCTGGAGGCGTGGATAGTTGCCTATCCTGAATGCATGGATAGTTACTTATGCTGAGAGAATGGATTGTTGTTTATGCTGGAGGTGTGAATAGTTGCCTATGCTGGAGGCATGGATAGTTGCTTCTGATGGAGACATGGACAGTTGCTAATGCTGGTGGCATGGATAGTTGCCTATGCTGGAGGCATGGATAGTTGCTTCTGCTAGAGGCATGGACAGTTGCTTCTGCTAGAGGCATGGATTGTTGCTAATGCTGGTGGCATGGATAGTTGCTTCTGCTAGAGGCATGGATAGTTGCTTCTGCTAGAGGCATTGATAGTTGCTAATGCTGGTGGCATGGATAGCTGCTTCTGCTAGAGGCATGGATAGTTGCTTCTGCTGGAGGCATGGATAGTTGCTTCTGCTAGAGGCATGGATAGTTGCTTCTGCTGGAGGCATGGATAGTTGCTTCTGCTGGACGCATGGATAGTTGCTTCTGCTAGAGGCATGGATAGTTGCTTCTGCTAGAGGCATGGACAGTTGCTTCTGCTGGAGGCATGGAAATTGTTTCTGCTAGAGGCATAGATAGTTGCTTCTGCTGAAGGCATAGATAGTTGCTTCTGCTAGAGGCATAGATAGTTGCTTCTGCTAGAGGCATGGATAGTTGCTTCTGCTAGAGGAATGGATCTTTCTCTTGCTGGAGGCTGAAGGCATGGATAAATTGCTAAGGCTAAACAACTAATAGTTTGGCTGGTCAGGCTACCATGATCTATTTCTTACTGCATTGAAAGCGTACACATGCTCTCAGATGGAGATTTCAATGTTAAACTTGGGGACTTTTGTAGAGTAGAAGTACCAGTTATATGTATTACATATCGTATGAGTAATTGTCAGGATTACTATAGTGGTAGTGGAGGTAGGTTACTATGGTTATTCAGGGAGCATCTTCCCTTCCAGAGGCAAGGGAGTTAACTGACTGTAAAAGTCCAGTTTTCACCCTTGCCGAAGTAGGCTGGAATTTCTGGGCTCCATCATAGCACCACCAGAGTTATATTCCTTCTATCCCCCTCCTAATGACCAATCAAATATCCATGCCCAGTTAACGGTATAAACTGTCTGCGAATCCTGCAGTCGACTGAAATCTACACGTTGAAATCCATGTTATTTACGAACTGGACTTTTACAGTCAGTTAACTCCCTTGCCTCGGGAAGGAAGATGTGAGCAGAGGTGTGTTGATTTCATCATTTACAGCAGCTACTGATGCTATATTCCAGGCTGACTACCATAACCTGATAGGAATAACTGCCGATCTCGTAGATGCCCTTGAGTCAACTGTCCAGGGGAAGCCTGTGAGTATTTGCTGCCTTTAAGACTAATATTGAAGAAATAATTTCATAAGCAAATGAAGTACGATTTGTGCATGTTTTGAATTGTTTGATCAGTGACACACACCACTTGTTTTATGCATTATATTAATTGTTGATTTTTACTACTCATATTGGGCACATGGATATTATTTTTAACATTTTGAAATAGAAAACATAATGTTCATTTAGATGAGGTTGTGGAATTTATTTGTAGATATTGCATAATGCTTTGCCTCAATTGTTATCATTCTAATACTTATGAATAGCACGGTATGTAAGCTTTTCATATTTTGTTCCAACCAAAACAATCAACTTTAATAGTTCTACCATAAATTTGATTGTATCAATATGATCAAAAGACATATGCAGCTTGCGTGTTCTAAGCTTCAGATGCATGACTAAGCCAGTTGTTAAATATGTGTATGGAAATGGTTAGGAGCAGACCATTTGATATTCTGGGAGAGGTCTGGAATTATTTGTATATAAATTAAAAGCTCCACCAGCCCCCAGATTCCAGACACACAGACCCCCAGTTCTCAGACCCCAGACACCATGCCCTACCCCAGCCCAACCAGCTCCCAGACACCCAGCCCAGCCCCAGCCCCAGCCCCAGCCCCAGCCCGAGCCATACCAGCTCCCAGACACCCCGCCCAGCCCCAGCTCCCAGACACCCAGCCCCAGCCCAACCAGCTCCCAGACACCCAACCCAGCCCAAGCCCCAGCCCAGTCCCAGCCCCAGCCCGAGCCCCAGCCCAGCCCCAGCCCCAGCCCAACCAGCTCCCAGACACCCAGCCCAGCCCCAGCTCCCAGACACCCAGCCCAAGCCCCGGCCCAACCAGCTCCCAGACACCCAGCCCCAGCCCCAGCTCCCAGACACCCAGCTCAGCCCCAGCCCTTGCCACAGCTCCAGCCAACAAGAAACCCAGCCCAGCCCCAGCCCCAGCCCCAGCCCCAGACCCAGCCCTACCCCAGCCCAACCAACTCCCAGACACCCAGCCCCAGCCCCAGCCCCAGCCCCAGCCCCAGCCCAACCAGCTCCCAGACACCCAGCCCCAGCCCCAGCCCCAGCCCAACCAGCTCCCAGACACCCAGCTCAGCCCCAGCCCTTGCCACAGCTCCAGCCAACAAGACACCCAGCCCAGCCCCAGCCCCAGACCCAGCCCCAGACCCAGCCCTACCCCAGCCCAACCAGCTCCCAGACACCCAGCCGCGGCCCCAGCCCCAGCCCAACCAGCTCCCAGACACCCAGCCCAGCCCCAACCCTTGCCACAGCTCCAGCCCAACCAGACACCCAGCCCAGCTCCCAGACACCCAGCCCAGCCCAGCCCCAGCCCCAGTCCCAACCCTACCCCAGCCCAACCAGCTCCCAGACACCCAGCCCAGCCCCAGCCCCAGCCCCAGCCCAACCAGCTCCCAGACACCCCGCCCAGCCCCAGCCCAACCAGCTCCCAGACACCCAGCCCCAGCCCCAGCCCCAGCCCCAGCCCAGCCCCAGCCCAACCAGCTCCCAGACACCCAGCCCAGCCCCAGCCCCAGCCCCAGCCCCAGCCCCAGCCCCAGCCCCAGTCCAACCAGCTCCCAGACACCCAGCCCAGCCCCAGCCCAGCCCCAGCCCAACCAGCTCCCAGACACCCAGCCCAGCCCCAGCCCCAGCCCCAGCACCAGCCCCAGCCCCAGCCCCAGTCCAACCAGCTCCCAGACACCCAGCTCAGCCCCAGCCCTTGCCACAGCTCCAGCCCAACAAGACACCCAGCCCAGCTCCCAGACAATCAGACGATCTCATTAAAAGCCCCACCTACCCCTAGACACCCTGCCCAAGCCCCTAGACACCCTACCAGCCCTTCCCCCAAACCCACCAGCACCCTGACAGCCATAATTAAATGGTCAGTTCCTTAGATGAATCCAGTATATTATGATAATTCTCTGCAGCTAAACACACCTGTTTTATGCCAAACTGCACACAATGCACAATACTTATTGACTGAGATGAGCCTATTGTACTAATATTACTCTTCAGGAAAGTTCCAAGACAGTAAGTATGATCTCTCAACACCTCTGCTGTAGCATCTTAGTTCTCTTTAGCCTTTCACAGTTATATACTAAATAAAATCAGTGTGTATGAAAAGTTGCAGAATATTTCAGTTTGTCATCTGAATGTGTTTGAGATTTTTTATCTCATCAATTTCAAATCTTTTCTTTCTTCATGTTCTCTGCAACATTCAATTGATATTTTTGCATGAACTAATATTTGTGTGTTACTTAGCATTTAGATCTCAGTATGTTTTCATTTGCAATTAGATTTGAATTGTTTATGTACAAGGTTATAACGGTCATCAATCATTGGGCCTTCTTTAACTGGTGAAAAGATTTAAATTTTGTTTGTTTGTTTGTTGTTTAACGCCGCACTCAGCAATATTCCAGCTGTATGACGGCGGTCTATAAATAATGGAGTCTGGACCTTACAATCCAGTGATTGACATCATGAGCATAGATCAACACAATTGGGATACGATGACATGCATCAACCAAGTCAGCAAGCCTGACCACCCGATCCCGTTAGTCGCCTTTCACGACAAGCTTAGTCGCCTTTTACGGCAAGTATGGTTTGCTGAAGACCTATTCTACCCCAGATCTTCATGGGTATAAAGATTTCAAAGTTAAACATCAACATCAAGGTATCAGGCATCAGAAATAAAAGAAATTTGGTTGAGATCTCAAAAGTATTGTTGAAATATTAAAATGAAATAAAACGAAAATGCCTCTTGGATATTTTCTGTTATTGATCTGCTTCAGAGGATTTACTGTTAATTGTCAGACTTTTCAAGGAAGAAACTCAGCTGTTTTTTCATGTTTTGATTTTATTGCACATTTCTCATATTCATAGGGCTGGCCCAAAAAATCTATAATCTGAATTATCATCGATGGGAATAAATATTAACGAATAACGATAAGAAAATTTGTGTCTTCGATAGTACCTTACACAAACTATTGTGATGAAATAAAGTTTAGGTTTACCAAATCGGACTTGTAATTGTCAATAATGTTAATTCCTGAAGATGGAAATTAACAGTAACTTCTTTTTGTTATATTTCAAATGTCCACAAAGTAATCCCTGAATAAATGTGCCACAACTCCCCATTGGAGTGAAATATGTTGATTTCTTTAGGAAGATACTTCTCCATTATTTATCGATAATTGATCGATATTTAGTTAACAATTATCAATCTCTATGATCTGTGTCGATAGCCAGCCCTATATATTCAGTCCTGGATCTGGGAACTAATTACAAAAACCATGAGGTTCGTTTTTTATTGAAGTTATCTATTGACACAATTAACCCGCTGTACATGCTGTAAGGCTTCTAGACATTGGATTCAAGTAGAAATGGTAGTACTTCATTTTGTAAACTACAGATTGTGCTAAATGTTTGTTAGATATGATTTGGTATTGTTTTGATCAGTTATGTTTTAGTAATGCCAATAAAACTATTGCCTTTCAGTTTGGGAATCATAATGAAGTAACTAATACATATATATTTATATATCATTGTATTTAGCTGAGAGACTTGTCAGCAAGGCCTGATTGCCTTGTCCACTCTTAGAATGTCCTTCAACAACTGAACGTAATGTCATTCTTCAACATTGAGATCTATTTATGGATAAGCTGTTTTAAAGGGGCTTCTTGTTTGTGATGTAAAATTCCTTCTTGAATTGTAAATAGAATGATAGACCTTGCATTCAAAGCTTAAAATCTACGGACGGAATTGTAATATATTTTAAGTTTGTGGGAAGGCTTTTCTGAAGGTTATATAGTAAGCATGCTATGTTTTGGCTTTTTCAATGCATTGATTCATTGTGTTGCATGTTAATAATGCTACATTCAGTTGTTTGCTTGACATTGAAGCGTCAGTTCTTCACGACAGTCATACCTTGTTAACTCAATGTCCTGGAGACCCTAGGATCAGTGTCCAGTAGTTTGTAGGTTTGTAGACCACAGTGGTAATATACTCACCATCAAAAGAAACGTGAATACCATACATGCTGATTAATATATAATGCAATCTCATTAAAATCAGACCTTATAGTTCTCGCTACCGCTAAACAAAGATCTGAGGACATCCCATTAGGGGTCACGTCAGAACGACCTTTCATCTGACCAATCAGAGCGTCGCTTACCAGATTATGAAAGTGACAGTCGGAATGTGATTTCTAATCATGCAATTTCGAAAACTTTAACACGGGGTATTCCGAACGATGGTTACGGGTTTAACAGCTGAATCCATACAATCTAGACCATCTATTAGCTATTCCAGAATGTTCTTATGTTTAGCTTTCAAATTTGTAATCGAGAATTTGTCAAAATATGTTTCGAAGCATAGTCGCCAATTTGAAATTAGTGCCTTAAAGCACGAGAAAGCTGCCTTCTGATTGGTCATTCCATTGGTCGGTCAAAGTTCGCGCAAGGTCGGTCTGATGTGACCTGTAATGGGATGTCCTCAGATCTTTGTTTAGCGGCAGCGAGAACTAAGATCTGATTTTAATGAGATTGATATATGAAGACTTACTCATATTCGCGAGATATGAGATCGATTTGATGCACAAACGAACATACTGGTATTTTGTGTGAACCAATACTCATGAAAGTATCACATGCGATCCATGACTCGAGGTGCACCATTTCTCCTGTGCAGGATTAGTGTGTAAAGTTTGGAAATCATGTGCAGCACATCGTGATAAGAATAAAGACACGCTGTGGTAACGCTTGATCGATTGTCAGGTTTGTCATTAATTGGTACACATTGGAAACATCTCTTCTTAATGAACATACTTTTCTACATGTTTCTATGGTTCACGTTTCTTTTGGCGTGAGTATTGTGACACATTTTGGAGGTATGTATTGTGCAGGGACAGTCATGTTACGTCTTATTGTTAGTTAATGATGTTCGAGTTAACAAGGTGTGTCTGTATTTATGCATATACAATTTGAAGATAGAAGAATCTCACCAGACCTGTTGTTTGTGTGTATATCACAGCACATTTCAAGCTGTCTGTCTTAAATCAGTAGATTCACTAGTATTGTATGACACCACATCAGCACCGTCACTAGTATTGTATCACGTCACATCAGCACCATCACGTTGCATCATGATGCATCACCACGCCACACCACACCACACCACCAACACACCACACCACACCTAACCACACCACACCACACCACACCACCACACCTACACCACCACCACAACACAACACAACACACCACACCACACCACACCACACCACACCACACCACACCACACCACACCACACCACTACACACCACTACACACCACTACACACCAAACCACACCACTACACACCACACCACAACACAACACCACAACATACCAGGCCACACCACAACACCACCACCACCACACCACACCACACCACACCACACCACACCACACCACACCACACCACACCACACCACACCAGGCCACACCACAACACCACCACCACACTGCCACACCACACCACACCACACCACAACACCATACACACCACCACCACACTGCCACACCACACCACACCACACCACACCACACCAGGCCACACCACAACACCACCACCACACTGCCACACCACACCACACCACACCACACCACACCACACCACACCACACCAGGCCACACCACAACACCATCACCACACTGCCACACCACACCACACCACACCACACCACACCACACCACACCAGGCCACACCACAACACCACCACCACACTGCCACACCACACCACACCACACCATACCACACCAGGCCACACCACAACACCACCACCACACACCAGGCCACACCACAACACCACCACCACACTGCCACACCACACCACACCACACCAGGCCACACCACAACACCACCACCACACTGCCACACCACACCACACCACACCACACCACACCACACCACACCACACCACACCAGGCCACACCACAACACCACCACCACACACCAGGCCACACCACACCACAACACACCAGGCCACACCACAACACCACCACCACACACCAGGCCACACCACAACACCACCACCACACTGCCACACCACAACACACCACACCACACCACAACACCATACACACCACCACACCACGCCACAACCACCACAACACCACAACACCACAACACACCACAACACACCACAACACACCACAACACACCACAGCACACCACAGCACAACACAACACAACACAACACAACCCAACATAACACCACACCGTGTGCAAGAATCCTATGATCATGGGTGCTAATCCCAGATGTACCCTGGTTACGTTTCTAGGCTTGAACCATACTCGTGGTTTTCAACATAGTGGTAAATGTCTAAGACCTGAATCACTTCAGACTTTCCTCCTACATAATGCTAACTTGTCATTATATAACTGTAATACTGTTTAAAGCAGTGCTAACTCAACTCACTCACTAACTCGTATGAAAGTATAGTCCAGTGGTGGTTTTCTCCTTTCCTCATAAAGTGAACATGGTTTGTTCACAGTTTGTTCTGTTCTTAGTGTTCACTTGAATGCAATGGCGCCAGGACTGGTAAAACATCAACTCACATCCCCCAATCCCCCTGTTTTAGTACATCAGTAAAGCTGTTTTTCTAGGCACCTGTTTTTAAACTATGCCTGCTTTACATGCTGAAATTATGTTTTGAATGTCAAAACAGACACAACCTAAAAATCACATGACATTCACTTGTGAACAACTCTCAAACGTTAGCATTTGCCTTGCCACTGCATTAACAGATGCTGATGTAACCATAGTAACGATTACCTTCTCGTCAACAGTAACTAGACACATCTGTTCCTGTACACAAACTGTAAATGTTTTACTGATAGGTCATCCGTCTGGTTATCTTTGCGACATGAGTGTTTTGGCCATTACTTTTATGTTCGTTGGATCGCATATTTTTTACGTCTACCAATGTACTTTTGATTTTTTATCACTTTCAGTTTGGAAAATATCAGCTTTACACAGATGACTAAGAGAACAAATTTTGGCAAAGTGTTTTTAATGTACAAGGACAGAACAGAATCATCCTTGATTTCTTTGGGCGTATTGAGCCTCATATTTTATTAAATATTTTGCATATATTATGTTTTCGGTGCAAACTAAATTAGCAGGCTGCAACTTTAACCAACAGTTCGAACCCCGAGTCAAGTAAAAGTCTGTTGTGTCAAGTCAGCTCAGCTAATATCAGTCCGCATGAAGACACTGAAATCTACCTGAAATGATGCTAAGTTTGGTCTAGTAGACTCAAAAACATTTGCCACAAACTGAACAAGTGTATATTTTTTCTCCATTTTGGAAAGGATCAGTGGATCCGTGAACTAACAAATATGGAAGTAATGGCCTTGTTATGAACAGATGAATATGTTGGTTTCATGATAGTATATGTTGCACATGTATATATACAATTCTAAACTGGTTTTGTTCTTGTGATAATGTCCTTGACACTGTCATATCAAGAATTTAATGTGCTGCTCTCTTATTTGAATGGGGGCAGTCGGGTAGCCTAGTGGTTAAAGCGTTCACTCATCACGCCGAAGACCCGGTCTCGATTCCCGACATGGGTACAATGTGTGAAGCCCATTTCTGGTGTCCCCCGCCGTGATATTGCTGGAATATTGCTAAAGGCGGCGTAAAATTAAACTCACTCTCTTATTTGAATGACTTAACTGACCTCGAGTGAGTCTGAATACTTTTACAAAATGGTAGTGAAAACCAGTATGGGACACACACATTAAATGCCTTCCTGAGTACATCAGGGTTTGAACATGACTTTTAAAACCCTTGTATTTTCAACAACCATCTGTAAAACCCTTGAATGTATTTTATTAAACACCAAAATAATGGTCCCTTGAATTTCACTTGTTTGGAGGTTTGGCAGCTATTTATTAATTCAAGCAGCTGTCAATCATGTGTAGACTTTAATAAAACACAATGTGAGTGGTTCCATTTATTGTATGAGAGGACCATCTTGTCCAATCACTTTCACCCATTGGTAGCTCAGAATTGCATTGGATTTATGTTAAGGGAAAAATATTTGATATGGGGTGGGTGAGCGGAGTTTTGTGTGTGTGATGGGGATGAGTGTTTTAAAGATATATTGTTCCAGAAAATGCTCAGGTTCATAAAATGAGGTGGTGAGGTGAAATGGGGTTTAACGTCGCGTCCAAGATTATTGCACTTATATAGCGATCATAAAATGAATATTTTTGGAATAATAACATTGAATTAATCTAAATAAGGTCTGAAAAAGTGGAAAGTTTCAAGCCATTCTATTGCACTGTTTTCTTGTAGGAGTTGTTTTTGCTTATATATTTACATGATGGATACTTGAAAGATTAATCTGTATGTGAATTTTGTGTTCTCCACGATAAATATTCAAAGTTTAACCAGTTCCAATATTACTGTGAGGCCAGATTGTGCTCTCATATCAACACGATGCACAAATATCATGGTACTTATTTTGTGTTCCTATGTAACCTACTAACCTAGTGTTGGATGATATCTCTCTGCAGAACCTTAATGTGATTACTAATGTCGTTGTAGTCAATATTATCAATTTGTCAGGAAGGAAGTTTGGATTTTCAAGTGCCAATATGTTTATGTTAGGGGAATTTTTAATGAAAAATATGAAGCCACATGACCTCACTTGACCTTGGCCCCTATGTCCTCAAAGCAATTACGGGGGCACGGATGGCCCAGTCGTCTAAGGCGCCGCGATTCGCTGTCCAGAGTTGCGTCCCTTGGACACGCCAGAAACCTATGGTTGTGGGTTCGAATCCCGGTTCGCCCCAATTATGTTTCTAGGTTTGTCAGTACCATACCCGTGCTCATGGGTTTCACCAAAGTGGTAATCATCTGAGACCTGCATCACTTCGGGCTTTCCTCCCACATTAAGCTGACATGCCGTGATATAACTGGAATAATGTTAAAAGCGGTGTTAAACCCAACTCACTCACTCATAGCAATTGCCTTTCTTGGAGCTCTCTATACTATTGCTGCCACCAGTCATAGCTTCCCAGTGTGATAGGTGGCTACAACCATGCAGGGAGTTGAACTCGCTACAGATTGACCGTTATGTTTACAAACCAGTGATGACTGATGTAACACCAAATACTCTTCCCCCAGCTAAATTATTTTCTTTGTTTGATAATTTGAATTCCTGCTTCATTTCAACCTTCATGTAATTAGTATAGTCAGAATATAATATGGTGCTTTTCCATTAGTCTGCAATCTCGTACCAATCTTATTATACAAACAAACATAAATTCATGTGGGAAGTGGTAAATCAGTAGTCAACCTTTTCCCAATTCACTGTAATGGCATTTCCAAAGGTATACTTATAGAATAACCCACGGAAAATATGTTATGAGTGGAGTTAATGATTTAAGTTCCAAGCTTTAGCAAGGAACTTCAAACATTAATTGCACGAGGGACATATTTTCTGTAATCACTCATACCGAGTGGGTTATTCTGTTTATTACCCATAATTATATTAAAGACGTGTTTCAAGGGGGAGAATTTTTTCGCAAATCAAGAATCAGCTGTTTTGTATCAATCCACGTGTGAAAAAACACTGTTCACTCGCCCCAATCGCATAACTCAATTAATGTGTAATAAACAATAATGTCAATGTCACTTCATTTGGGGTGAGAAGGGAAATTTCAATATTTTTGTAATGACAGCTTGCACACTGGTGGCAGCGATGATACCAGTAGGGTAATAAAGATGTCACATGCTCTAAAGGAACTTGAGTGGTGTCCCCAAGTACAGACATGTGTCCTTTGCTACGTTATTGTGTCCCTTACTATATGGCTGTGTCCCTGCTACAGCGTTGTATCCTCTACTACAGAATTTGTGTCCCCTACTACAGAGTTATGTCCCTTGCTGCAGCACTGTGTCCCCCTACTACAGAGTTATGTCCGTTGCTGCAGCACTATGTCCCCCTACTACAGAGTTATGTCTCTTGCTGCAGCACCGTGTCCCCCCTACTACAGAGTTATGTCCCCTGTTACAGAGTTGTGCCCCCTGTCACGGCGCCGTATGTTTCAGATCACACCAGAGTACCTCCAGCAGCTGTGTACCCGACTGTTCAGCGCTCACATGAGGACCTCTGTCGACCTCGTCAGGCCAGGAACAGCGGGCGAGGCGTTGAGAGCTTCTGTTATTCCAGCAAGGTAATTAGGAATGTGTGGATCGGTTGGGAGGGGAATGCACCCCTCATCATAAGAAATTCAAGACAAGTCCAGAGGACTAGTGTTAACATTATTTACCAAGTCCTCAGTGTTTGTTGCTGGTCCTGAGTAAATGAGACAAAACTGTTTACTATGTTTACATTTGGTGTCAGTTTTATTCAGTTTCGATTTGTAGCAATTTGAAGCCCCGACAACTGGTTCAAAATTATAGCCCTCAAATGCTACTTGTCAGTGAGGATTATCTTCACTGGAATTTACTTGTTCTTGCAACAAGTTAGCAGACTAAGCAGACTAGCACAAAGTTTTTAAGGCTGACAAACACAGGAACGATTCCTGTTTGGTTTCACAGCTGATGCATATTCCTGTTTTTCTTTATTCCAGACATGCAACGAAAGAGGCGGAGACGTACGCTGGGCTGGACTACCAGCGGCTGAAGAAGGACCTGGTGGACGGCCCCGATAGGAAGAAGGCCCTCCTTCTGCAGGCTCTCCGATGGGTCAGTGCTAGAATTCCAATCTAAGTGCCACTTGCAGACAAATTGGGGGAATAATTTTGTATAGTATTTAAAAATGGGATTTTTTTAGAATTCATATTTTCTCAGAGGTATTTTACCATTGCATTCAATGCTTTAATGTAAACTTAGCATTAAAGGCTTGTCCCCTATATTGGTTCTGTTATCAGTGAAATACAAGTCAGCTCTACAAAGCCATACCAATCATTCCAGCTATTTTAATATGAATTGGAAAAAATAAATTTCCAAGTTCGGAATTTGTACTGACACATTTGCTGCAGTTTCTGATTTGAGGTTTAATATCGGCTTCTGAAGAGACATACAAGAGCCATTTTGGGGGGGAAATGCTGTTTTGTGTACAGCGTGTGTACAGCTGATTGCTGTGTCCGGCTTAGTTTACGAGAAAATACACAAGGTAATCTTAATCCCTGGATATTAAACAATGCCTTGCTGAACAAAAAATACAATTTAAACGGTAAATCAACATGTCTGGTGATTTTTTATCTCAAATTTCGAATTTGTACTGGCAAAGTTTCTCATCACCCTTTCGTTTGCCGGACTTCGCTGAAGGGGTACGGTGTAATTTTTTTCTGCGCATATTATTCAAATTTCTTTTTTTCCAAAATATTGAAACCGCTAGAGGGGGGTGCGCATTATACATGGGTACGCACTATACTCAAGAAAAAACGGTACAATAAACACAATGTGCATCATCTCACTGCAGGTTAAGTCTTGGCTGAGGGAGCAAGATCTTACAAACTTGGTCAAAATGTCAATGGAGCTTAAGTTCTTTAAATGAAGAGTACTAGATGAGGATATTTACAACTTTTATTTCCCATTATTCTAGGCATCTTATTACATAATTGTTTGACATGCTATTTCCAATGTTAACATGTAAACAGTATTTTGTTCAGTTTCAGTCATTTTCTGTATGTAATACACACTCCCAAAGACACAGCTTTATTGAATAGACCTCTGCATTATCATGATTATGCACACAGCAGCAACACCATGAACTTCTGTGACTGTTTCACTCCATACTACTCCATGATCTGTTGTATCACATTGTTTACATTTTCTTGCAGAGGTTAACCCGATCTCGAGTTGACCAGAGGGATGTGATTATGTCAGCCTATATACAGCATGACTTGTTAGGGTGTGCCAAAGATGGGCCATACAGGGTACGTAGTATCTAAAATATTGTGGTTATGACAAATTAGTGAGATTTTAAGCAATATTTCAGCACTATCACAGTAGTGAACTCCAAAAATTTGCAGTTCTTGACTGATACAACAAGAAATGACTTGCTACAATTGAAAATTTGCTTTGTGTGTTTAACAATTTTACATTTAAGCAGAATTCTACTGATTCCAGATTCCCAGTAATGATCATAGGATTTTGTCTTCAGTCTTTCAGCCATTGGTGCATATTCTAGAATCAGAGACCACCTCCATGGTCAAGTGGTAGAGCGTCTGGGCGGAGAGCGGAATATATTGGCACTATAAATTGGCATCAGCCTGGAGTAGTACAAGCAGCCACACATCCACATGCATGCACGTCGCTATATAAGTGCAATAATCTTGGACACGACGTTAAACCCCACCTTCTACAATCAGAAATGAGATTTCAAGGATATCACCACAAAAACACTGTTCCACACATAATTGGTTTAAGTTTTTGGTGAATATCAGTAAAAGATAATCAGAATGACTTCAAAGAAACTTATGATGTCATCCTGATGATATTGTCATGTATTTATTCCAGCAAGCAGTTGAGAATATGCTGACATCAGACAACGAGAGCGTGAAGCAGTATACGGCTCGACTCTTCAATGCCTTTGCTTCTCTGTCAGTTGGTGAGTTGTAGTATTATCATTCCTAGCAATGTTCCTTTCATAACAGAGATCAGGTTAGAATTGCTTCACAGCAGTCAATTCTTGTCGTGAAAGGACTAACGGGATCTGGTGGTCATGCTCGCTGACTTAATTGATGTATGTCTTCATATCCTAATTGAATAGATCGATGCTCATGGTGTCAATCACTAGATTGTCTGGTACAGAATGCTATCATATAGCTGTATTATTTCTGAGTGCGTCAATAACTAACAAACAATCAATCCTATATTAGGCCTCTGGTCAAATGTCTGTAAAACTTACCCAACCTGAATTAAAAATGTCATGTTTTCCAAATTTTTTAACCTTGTGAAGGTGACTTCTATTTCACTGATAACATGATCAATAAAATTATAAAGCCTTGAAGGCTAACTTTTACTATTGAATGATGCGTTAAATTCACTCTGTAACAAAATAAAAACTTTCAAACCATCCCAATTTTTCATACTCTTCCCAATTTACCACGAGCACTTAGTTTGAAATCCCCTGATTAGTAGTGTAGTGATACATGTCGTAAGGATATGATAAGTGGTTCCCTTACTGATTAGTAAGGTTGTGATATGATACATGATAGGATACGTATCCTTTTCATGGGCGGATACAGCTTTTTTGAAAAGGGGGGGTGCACAATTAAGATCTATCTATTGTCTTTGGTGGTAATTTATACAGAAATAAAGATTTTTTTCGAAATAAAAAGGGGGAATGCGCACCCCCGCACCCCCCTCTGTATCCGCCCATGCTTTTTGTATTGATACATGACCTAAAGATAGGATACTTGTCTGCAAAATATACGTGCTCCACAAGGAGTGAGTGAGTTATATCAGGGGATGTCAGCTTATTGTGGAGGAATGCTCAAAGTGATGCAGGTCTCAGACGTTTGTGAAACCCACGAGCACGGGTATGGTGCTGACAAACCTAGAAACATAATCGGGGTGAACCGGGATTCGAACCCACAATCATTGGAACCGGCGTGCCCAAGGGACGCAACTCCGCACAGTGAAGTGCGGTGCTTTAGATGACTGGGCCACCCATGCACCACTTCAGAAGGAATTGTCAATAGACTTATGTTTCAAACTATTCTAAACATTCAGCTAAATGCCATATCCAAGCAGATGATGGAATGTTTACTATGAAACAGGCCTTATATATCCTAGTGTTGATGTGTTTGCTTAGTTTTCTATCCTGTCTCTATCCACCCTCTGTTGCCTTAGATAAATGGAAAGATATAGAGGATATTTCATGTAGGGCTGGGACGGGTAACTCGGGTACCCAGGTCGGGTGGGTACTGAGTAGGACCCGGGTACCCACAGGACTACCCGGACTCGTGTTTAGTTACCTGATTATATTGTTTAATGACAAAAATTATCTAGAACTCTATGGTTACACTTTAAGTGATAAATGTTCACATTTCTTTCTGACTTTGCACACATTCCTTCTGACTTTATATGTTTGCATAATGATAAAACATCAGTCAACTTCAGTGTATGCATGACAAGATCGGTTTATACGTGTATCTAAATTTATTTTGACAGGAGTACAGTCAAACGTTTCCCAATCGGACATTTTGTACCTTTCTCTTGAGACCTACAGCGGGTGAGGGGTGGGTACACGGGTAGTAAATTTGGACTCGTCCCAGCCCTAATTTCATGTGTCTCGTAAAATTTCATGTTTCTCTCATCGAATGACAGGGGGAAAGGAGATATTTTCACAATGGCATTGCCTCCAGTGAAAATATCACCTTTTCCCTCGTCACTAGATGAGAGAAACATGCTTTTTTAATCAACACATGGAATATCCTATTTATTAATTACTTTTTGTGCAGTTGTCTACCGGAGTATTAAACTAAATTATTACAAATGTAAAACCTTGAAATGTAAATTCTCCCTACCTGAAACACAGGGACGGTTCACCACCCTTTGTATTTGCGACTTAAAAAGTAGTTTCGTGTTTGCAAAATCGTAAAAAATATAAACTAAAGTATGAAAACATATTTAGGGTCACGATAATTCTTTATCATACAATTTGATATGATTATATACAAAATCAACTTTAACAAAAAATATTCTTGAATACTAGGAGACCGGTGAGAGAAGCAAAAGAATACACGCTAGTCAAGTAACCAAAGTGGTGTTTTGTGAAACGAACAGTCTCGATTGACGAGTTAAATGAGAGATTTACAGTTTATAATGAAACATTTTTTAGGGAGGAATAAACGGCTAGAAGTGATATTAACTCCATAAATGACCCTCCGTCATTATATTGCCTCATCAATGTGGAGTTAAAGTAAAAAGAACGGGGTAGTCACGTACAACAAAGGGAGACAAGTCAAGGGGAAGTTACTCTCATATGACAAAGTGTCAGTAAGTCAGTGAGTATGGTTTTACACCGCTTTTAGCAATATTCCAGCAATATCACGGCAGGGGACACCAGAAATGGGCTTCACACATTGTACCCATGTCGGGAATCGAACCTGGGTCTTCGGTGTGACGAGCGAACGCTTTAAGCACTAGGCTACCCGACCGCCCCTTATGGCAAAGTGTTATGTTCACTGCAATGAAATATCAAGTGTTATGTTCACTGCATTGAAAATATCATTTTTCTCAACTTCAGAAAACTCAATCTTTCACGCTGAAGTATATAATAAAAGGAATCCAGCAATACCTAACAGGTAATATTGTTGTGATTTCAGGACGCTCGTACCTGGCATTGAACAGTGAACTGATGCCATCCCTGATGGACAACCTGCGAAGTGAAGACAAGGACTCCCTCACCAGGGAGATGATTCTCGGAGCCTTGCAGAAACTCAGTCTCAGGTAACCATGGTAACAGCAGCCTTCATACACTGAAACCTCCTTAACTCTATGTCATCGGTAACATCTCTCTCATTATTTTGAAAATGCGATTTTTATTTGTTTCGCTGTGCTTTTTGCAGGCGTGCCCTGCAGTCGGCCATGATAGACAAGGGAGTGATCGAGTGGCTTGTGGGGGTGCTGGAGGACAACGACTCTCTGTCGGACTACACCCTGGAGTACTCCGTGGCCCTGCTCATGAACCTCTGTCTCCGAACTTCCGGTACTTACGTCAAGTCTTGTATTCATTTTGGACAATACAAATCTCATACAATATAGCTCAAGATAGCACAAGAAGGTCAACTTGAAGACCTGGGTGCGGTTGTACAAACAACCTTAGCGCTACGACTGTTAAGTATGGAGTTACGATCACCTTAGCGCTAAGATAGCTTTTTACAACGGCACCCTAAACCCAAATTTCACAAAGCAATTGGAGTGCTGCAACTGTCCTAATTCTATGTTAAAGTATAGGGGTTACGTTCATGTAAGTGCTTCAATACCTGTGACCCGTGTGGTGATTCAGGGGTAGAATTTGTCCCTAGTATCCAATCTGATAGCCCTCTGGTGATTCAGGGGTAGAATTTGTCCCTAGTATCCAATCTGATAGCCCTGTGGTGATTCAGGGGTAGAATTTGTCCCTAGTATCCAATCTGATAGCCCTGTGGTAATTCAGGGGTAGAATTTGTCCCTAGTGTCCAGTCTGATAGCCCTGTGGTGATTCAGGGTAGGTAGAATTGGTCCCTAGTATCCAGTCTGATAGCCCTGTGGTGATTCAGGGTAGGTAGAATTGGTCCCTAGTATCCAGTCTGATAGCCCTGTGGTGATTCAGGGTAGGTAGAATTGGTCCCTAGTATCCAGTCTGATAGCCCTGTGGTGATTCAGGGTAGGTAGAATTGGTCCCTAGTATCCAGTCTGATAGCCCTGTGGTGATTCAGGGTAGGTAGAATTGGTCCCTAGTATCCAGTCTGATAGCCCTGTGGTGATTCAGGGTAGGTAGAATTGGTCCCTAGTATCCAGTCTGATAGCCCTGTGGTGATTCAGGGTAGGTAGAATTTGTCCCAAGTTTCCTGTGCACATCGGCCCCACTGTGCTTCAAGGGTAGAATTGTTCCCCAGTTTCCAATGCTGATTGGCCCTCTGGGGATTCAAAGGTAGTTTTGGTCAGGGGAGATAGAATTGGTCCCAAGTGTCCTGTGCAGATCATCCCCATGGTGCTTCAGGGGTAGAATTGGTCCCAAGTTTCCTATGCTGATCTGTTCTTTGGGGATTCCAAGGTAGAATTGGTCCCCAGTTCCATATCTGACCGGATCTGTGGTGACTCAGGGGTAGAATTGGTCTCTAGTTTCCTATCTGATAGACACCATGGGGCTTCAGGGGTAGAATTTGTACCAAGTTTCATATGCTGATCGGCTCTGCTGGGATTCAGCTTGAAATAGGTCCCCAGCAACCTATGCTGGTTGTAAGAGGCGACTCAGTGAATCAGGGGGTCAGTCTTGGTGACCGGATTGGTTGCATTTACCCTCATGATCATTGCACAGACCGTATTCGACATAATAAGCGCCCCGCTCTAATAAGCGCCCATGGCGATATTTGCTAATATATTGGCTAGTGAACAATCCCAATTAGCATCCCTTCCGATTGATCAATGTACACAAGACATATTCATTCTTGAAAATACGTATGTTATATGCACCCTTATTTATGGGAAATTAAATCCTGGAAAAATATATCTGTCGTATATAAACATTTCAGGCTGTCAGCATAAACCACGAAATGTAAGATCTTTCAACTCTGTTGTTTTTCACCAAAATAATATTCCAATAAGAGCCCCCCTTTTCAAATTTTGAGAGCGCCCTGGAAGCTTATTATGTCGAATATGGTAACATAAACCACTGATTGAAAATCAACTAAAATGGATCAGGTGGTGAAGCTTGACTGGTTATATGTCTGCAGCATTAAACAATAAACGTAAATCTGAAAATACACAATGTGTGACTCCTAAACTCTAAATGACTTGGTGATAAGTGAGGAAGCAGATCTTGTCATCATCATCAGTTCAAATCAACAATCAATTTTGGTTCTTGAATTCTGACATACACTCTCTTTATGATATTTTGTATATTTTTGTATATTTTTAGGAAAGAAGCGATGTGCGAAAAATGCTCGTCAGACTCTGAAAGTCCTCAGTGATCTCCTGGGCCATGACAACACAGAGGTGAAATAAATATATAGTGCAACCACCTAGGCCTACATTTTCAGTTGTTTTGTGAAATGATACATGAATGTGTGTTGTAAAGGTCGTCTAGATCCTCGTGTAGACTGACCCACTGGGCATTCCAGGTTAGAAATGGTTCCTGACAACCTAGTCTGATCTTCATAGCAGCCTCTAAGTGGTCAAGTACGGTGTCATGGTTCAATGGGTGTCACCATGCCCTGATGACGTGGATCGTTGCTTGTACTTGTAGTCTCGGATTGTCTGGGGGCGGTCGGGTAGTCTAGTGGTTAAGGCGTTCGCTCGTCACGCCGAAGACCCGGGTTCGATTCCCGACATGGGTACAATGTAAGAAGCCCATTTCTGGTGTCCCCCGCCGTGATATTGCTGGAATATTGCTAAAAGCAGGGTAAAACCATACTCACTCACTCACTCGGATTGTCTGGCTGAGTCCAGCAGAAGTAAAGACACAAAACTATCTTATGTAGCAATACGTATCCAGATAGTCAAGAATATCATTCTACTTCATTTGTGCCTTATTTGCATTAACTTTCCTCCATGCTCAGTACAACATTTTGTCATGGACCTCCACAAATACATGTAACTTTATACTGCAATGCGTTGTCTATCCGGGAATCATTATTACATGGTTTTCACATGGGTCTTATAAGCTCACTTATTTTCATCATGGCGGGCAGTGGGGTAGCCTAGTTGTTAAGGCGTTAGCCCAATCCTGGTGTCCCCCGCCATGATATTGCTGGAATATTGCTACAAGCGTTGTTAAACTCGACGTAAAACCATACTCACTCACTTTTGTCATCATGAATTGATAAAGGGTCATGGTGGCCTAGTTGCCTAAGGTGCCACAATTTGCTGTGTGGACTTGCATCCCTTAGACATGACAGAAACCTTCAATCGTGGATTCATATTACTGACTACCCCGATTGTGTTTTTATGTTCGTAAGCACCGTACCCATGACCCGAGTTTCACCAAACTGCTCAATGTCTGATGTCGCCATCACTTTGGACTTTTCCCACCCAAGCTGATATGCCGGGGAATAACTGAAAAATTGTTTAACCGGTAAACCAAAATGAGTGAAATCCCTAGCTGATCCCTACTAAATGTAAAATGTGTAAGTGCTAACTTGTGTTTCCTTGTAGATTCTACCCTATGTGAATGGTGCTTTGTACAGCATCCTGGCTATTCCCTCCATCAGAGAAGAAGCTAAAGCTATGGTATGTCCGTGCAAGGAATAGGAGTATATTACTATCTGTGAAAAACCTAGCATGGTATGTCATTTTAGTGACATGCTGTGGCTGTGTAGAAACCAGTTTCACTGTCATGGTTCTCAGGAATCTTGAAAAGTACTTGAATTTAAGAGTTGATGTTGAAAAGTCCTTATTTTGAAATCAGTGCTTTAATACATATTAATTTAGTACTTTAAGAATACTTGAGTTTATTGTTAAGTTGCCCCTGTGAAGGTCCAGGGCCCACTTGCACAAAGCGACCTTAGCGCTAAGACTATTGTAAGCCTATGTTAAAGTATGGGAGTTGCGTTCATCTTAGCTATAAGATCGCTTTGTGCAAGTGGGCCCTGGTTAGAATTGGTTCTCAGCAACCTATGCTTGTCATAACAGTTGACAAGCAGGATCAGGATCAGGTGGCTGGTTGATATATGTCATCGTATCCCAATTGAGTAGGTCGATGCTCACGATGTCAGTCACTGGATTGTCTTGTCCAAACTCCGTTATTTACAAAGCACCGCCATTTGGCTGGAATATTGCTGTGTGCGGCATTAAACAACAAACAGACATCAGCACTGATATGTATGCCTAGATAGTTTCTCTACCTTCATGCCCAGACACATTTGTTTCAGGATATGGAAGAAATTCTGAGATGTTTTATAAAAGATGGCCAACAAGACATGAACAGGCAGATAGAGTTCATCATTAAACAATTAAACTCAAGTAAGTCACCATATGTTACCAAGGAGTCTTCAACATCGTAAACAGATATCTTTGTATCGTAAGCCTATGTTAAAGTATGTTACAACCATCTTAGCGCTAAGATCACTTTATCGAACAGGGCCCTGATTAGCCTGGTGCTCCATTCCTCAAAGCCATATCTGTGCTATTACTGTCTATGTTAAAGTATAATATTATGTCTATATTAAGGTATTGGAGTTACGATTATCTTTGAACTATGACTGTCGTAAGTCTGTGTTAAAGTTTGTTGACGATTGTCTTTAAGCTAATATTACTGTTTGGAACAAGACCATTTACAGGACATAGGTGTCCCAGTCGCTGTACTATGCTTTACACAGTTATGTCCCTTAGTAATGCCAGGATCCCAGATTCACCTGATTATTAGCTTGTGATCAGCTGACAATTTTGTGACAAGTGTTAATGTTTTGTAGAGAAGGAATTCGGTTTAACGCTCTTTTGTACAGTATATTAGTTATATCTCATTGTCACTGTATGGACTGTGTGGTCATAGGATTGTCTGATCCAGACCTAATTATTTTGAGGCCACCATCATATAGCTGGAATATTGCTGAGTGTGGTGTTAAACAACAACAAAACATAAGATTCAGAGTCTCTTGATGTTTCTTACTACAGATGAAGCTGGTGATGAGTATGAGTCTGATGATGAGGAAGAAGATGATGATGAGGAGGTAAGCAACAAAGAAGGCCGTAGAAGGCAACTATGCTTGAAAGAGGCGACTAACGGGTCTCGGGTGGTCAGGCTCGCTGACTTGATTGATGCATGTCATCGTATCCCAATTGCGTGGACCAATGCTCATGATGTCAATCACTGGATTGTCTGATCCAGACCTGATTATTGACAGACCCCGGTCATATTGCTGAAATATTGTGGTGTTAAACAACAAACAAACAAACAAAACAAATAGTGTTTTCCGGAGACTGGTAAAGTCAATGATGGTCAAACCTAACTTATGGTATTCATTGTATTTTGCCAGGAGGACCAAGATGCTCTGGAAGCTGATTTGGACAAGGAGGAGATGATCAGACCCCAGCCTGGTGAACTGGCCGGGGAGTCCATGTTATGTCGCGATTACCAGGGAGAGGCAGACAGCTCCAGCAGGAAGAGGGTGAGTTGGGTGTATAATGTAGTCAGGTATAAGGCCATGGAGTCCATGTTATGTGAGGACTACAGGGAGAGGCAGACAGCTCCAGCAGGAAGAGGGTGAGTTGGGTGTATAATGTAGTCAGGTATAAGGCCATGGAGTCCATGTTGTGTGAGGACTACAGGGAGAGGCAGACAGCTCCAGCAGGAAGAGGGTGAGTTGGGTGTATAATGTAGTCAGGTATAAGGCCATGGAGTCCATGTTGTGTCGCTATTACCAGGGAGAGGCAGACAGCTCCAGCAGGAAGAGGGTGAGTTGGATGTATAATGTCATCTCGTATAAGGCCATGGAGTCCCATGTTGTGTGGGGACTACCAGGGTGAGGCAGACAGCTCCAGCAGGAAGAGGGTGAGTTGGGTGTATAATGTAGTCAGGTATAAGGCCATGGAGTCCATGTTGTGTCGCAATTACCAGGGAGAGGCAGACAGCTCCAGCAGGAAGAGGGTGAGTTGGGTGTATAATGTAGTCAGGTATAAGGCCATGGAGTCCATGTTTTGTGGGGACTACCAGGGTGAGGCAGACAGCTCCACTAGGAAGAGGGTGAGTTTGGTGCATAATGTAGTCAGGTATAAGGCCATGGAGTTCATGTTGTGTCGCGATTACCAGGGTGAGGCAGGCAGCTCCAGCAGGAAGAGGGTGAGTTGGGTGTATAATGTAGTCAGTTATAAGGCCATGGAGTCTTTGTTGTTTGGGGACTAGCAGGGTGAGGTAGACAGCTCCACTAGGAAGAGGGTGAGTTGGGTGTATAATGTAGTCAGGTATAAGGCCATGGAGTCCATGGCCTGCTCATCCCTTATTGTGCTAGGTAGCATGTATGGGAACTCATCAACTCATCTGTTCCTGCAGCATACAGACCGAGTATCCATGCACGAGCCCCTCACACGCCCAGCCACGCCCAGTCAGAGACGAGCGGCGGAAAACACTGCACCACGGTGAGTCACTCAGTGTGTAGACCAAGTGTGTGAGAGTGGCATGAAGTGTTGATAGACTAGAGCGAGACTTTGTCAGACATTTAAGAGGTTTATAATTATAAGGCATTTTAGAAGATGATTACTATAAGACTTCAAGTTAATTAATGCTTGCTTGATAATGGTCCTAGTATGCACTGAAATGTTGCATCGAAAGAAGAAAAGATAAGGATTTCAACAATGACTGATTAACATCTTAACGAAAATATGGATATGGTAAATAAGTGATATATTTGTTTAAATTTAGCCAAAGTTTCCTAAGATTTCTATTATGATAGTCTTGTAGACTTGTAGTTTGACTAGAGTCTCACTATGATTTGTGGCTAGGAAATAGGGAATGTACTAGTGTAAATTTGATTTGTGTTTATAGTTTAGATAACTCTTACTCAAGCATTTCGTTTAGGTGCTGTTGGGGCTTGTAATATTATCATTTTGGTTGGTTAGGCCGTGCATTTCAAAAATTGTTTTCAGTATAAGATTCTCATGATTATTATAAATTCTAAACATATGGGGGGAAAAACATTTGTTAGCATGCATGGAAATTATGTCCCCTGAATTTGAATAAAGTTGAATTTGTATGTTCCACTGACAGTTGTGTCATTGTGAATATTTGGTTGTCTCCCTTGGTATAGTACGGGGGGAGGTGATAGGCCTCAGTCACGCAACAATCCCAGCAGGCCGAGCACAGGAAGTAAAGATATCACAGTACGACCACCTACACGCAGCGGCAGTCGACCAAACTCCCAGGAGAGCGGTAGGTACACAATCTACTCTGACAACTGAAGAGACCGGGTGGTCAGACTCGGTGACCTGGCTGTGTCATTGTACCCCGATGACATGGATGGCTGCTCCCAATATCAATCACTGGATTGCCTGGTCTAGACTTCATTATTTACTGACCACAGTCATATAGCGGGAACATTCCTGAGTGCCGCGTTAAACAATAAACAGAAATAAGGTGACAGGAAAGTGTTATACATCATATTCAAGTCATATTCGGTGCCCTGTAAATAATCGCGTGTCGGTCGGGCAAACACATGGTTGTCTTCTTGAGTAACAACCCACAATCGCCAAGGTCACACATTGTAACACGTAATCCACAGCCATCGTCCAAGGCAAGGGAGTTATCTGACAGAAAAAGTCCAGTCTACCCTTGCTTAACTAGGCAGGAATTAGGGAGTTATATTTTGGTCTATGCATAGTCCAATCAAAATCGTGTAATGAACTTGACGTTAGGTTCATAAACAAGATGCTGACTGCCGAGCAGATTTTTGGTCGTCTGCAGGATTTGCAGAGCATGTGTTCCATCAATTGGTCATCGACCGATATTTTTTAAATCTTTTCATGTTTTTAATCAAGGTGCTCAAGTAAAGTGATTTCACGCACTTTGCGAGGTAAGCCCTGTTTTATTACAATAGAGATTTTGATTATCGATCAGATCGTCGTGACTTGGCGCCGCCATTTTGTTTGAAGCAAATGCAAGTTATATGAGATATGGATTCTGATTGGTCAGTTGGAGAGACGTAGAAGGGACATGACACGTTATTGCCACGTAAGGTGCTACATCGAGCTACTAAATTCCAGCCTATTTCGGCAAGGGTGGAAACTAGACTTTTATACCCGCTTGCCCCGGGAAGATGTCCGCAGTCAGCTGTTTAGGTTTTGTTTGCTTGTCATTTGTTATGGCCTCACTCTGGAATATTCCGGCTGAATGATGGCAGCTGGTAAATAATCATACAACTTTTCATCAAGTCTCATGGCAGATTGACAAAGAAAACCAGTAAACAAGATAAAAAGTTGATTGGGCCTGAATATGTGTATGTGTTTGTTGTTTAACGCTGCACTCAGCAATATTCCAGCTATATCACATCGGCCTATGAATAAAATCGAGTCTGGACCAAACAAACCAGTGATCGACATTGTGAGCAACCATCCATGCTGTCGGGGTACGATCACATAAGTTACCTTACAGGACCACTAAATCTTTTAAGTCATCATTTATAAACATCATATGTTGTTGGGGATCTTTTCTCACCTGGAAACCCCATGGCGTCTAGCCTGTATTAGAAATAGAGAAACAGCCATCCTGACTCCTATTGGAAAAGATATGCCATTGAAACAATTATGCAATGAATAAACCATATATTTATATTGGCTGACCAATCATATAATAACCAGGCGATGGCTTTGAATCATTCAAACTATCAGAAACTTACTTACCCGTGAAGATCCGGGGTAGAATAGGTCCTCAGTAACCCATGCTTGCTATAAGAGGCGACTATGCTTGTCATAGGAGGTGACTGACAGGTTCAGGTGGTCAGACTTGCTGACTTGATTGATGCATGTCATCGTATCCCAGTGTGGATGGATGCTCATGATGTCAATCACTGTATTGTCTGGTCCAGACTCGATTATTTACAGACTGCTGTCATATAGCTGGAATATTGCTGAGTGTGGCGTTAAAAAACAAACAAACAAAAGAAACTTACTTAGTCTTCTCTAAATGTTGATTGTTTTCCCAGGCCGGCGTACGTCAAGTCAGGCGAGTGACCGACACCTCAGGCCATCAACTAAAGCAATGGAGAAACTTGGCACAGGTGCAAAGTAGGTACACGTGGGAACAATGCCACCCTATTGATGTATTGGGTTGATTGTATGTCTATGATTTATGAGTCGTCATAAAATGTTCATATACTGATGAACAAAAATTAGGGAACATAATGCATTCTAGCAAAATATTGATTTGTGCTCTGTTAAAAAGAATAGGTTATATTTTCAAAAGAAGTTTGATTTGTTGATATTTTTGCCAAACTATCTCTTGTTTTCTTTAGGGAAGAATTATGTAATGCAAAACAAATGCTTCTCTCTGTGGTTGTCCCCTTATTAATTTCTGTCAGTATGTTGTATTAATCATGTAATCTGTAATGTTAACATGACAGTAAACATTGTCCATCAGGCTATGTGAGACTTGTGAAAGGAGGCTGTTGTTAATGGAATGGAATATAACTTATACGACGTAATAAGCACCCAAGGCTCTCTCAAAATTAGAAATAGAGTTGAAAGATCGTACATTTTGTGGTTTATGCTAACAGCCTGAAATGATACAAAAGAAAGTCTGTCCATATTATACACGACAGATATATTTTCCTGAATTTAATTGCCAAAATTAATTGTGCATATAACACACGAGTGCTTATTTTACAAGAATAAATAAGTCTTGTGTACATTGATCAATCAGAAGGGGTGCTACTTGGGATTGTTTACTAGTAAATATATTAGCATATATCGCCGTGGGCGCTTATTATGTCAAATACGGTACCTGTTATACCATAAATATTAATTGTTTATTTTTGAGTTTATGAGATCAAATGTGAAAGTGATTACATTGGACATAGCCTAAGAAACTTGTCAAGTGAGATTACTGTGGGATGAATGTATCGATGCTGTTTTCAGTGTCAATGAGTATGCAAGTGCATTCGGTTCTCGTCCTCGCATTCCGCGGACACCGGGCCCCGACAACCTGAAGCGTCCCTCGTCTGGCTCCAGTAAAAGTTCCATCTCCAAGAACCCCCCTCAGCCCCAATATTCTGAGTCAGGGCCCCGACCTAGTTCGGCAGGGAAAACTGGTAAGTCACTTGAACTAAATATGCATCCCTGCTTGGTAAAAACAAAAATCTAATTGTAGAATAGGTGTCAAAAATAAAGGCCTGCCCACTATCCCGTGGCTAGTAACAATTCTCTAGGGATAGGTGAAATTATTCCTGACTGCTCAACTGTCGAGTGTAAATTTCATTGCTACACTGACAATTTTGAATCAGGTTTATATATGTGACTAATTTACTCAAGCGAAGTAGCTACCTTAGTGGATATAAAGCTCTTAGTCACCGGTGAAGATCCGGGGTAGAATAGGTCTTCAGCAACCCATGCAGGCCGTAAAAGGCGACTATGCTTGTTGTAAAAGGCAACTAACAGGATCTGGTGGTCAGGCTCGCTGACTTGGTTGATGCATGTCTTCATATCCCAATGGTATAAATCAATGCTCATGATGTCAATCACTGGATTGTCTGGTCCAGACTCGATTATGTACAGACTTCCATCATATAGCTGGAATACTGCTGAGTGCGGCGTTAAACAACAAGCAAACAATACAACAACTTAGTGCAAAGGCACAGAGCAAAGTAAATTTGAGAAAAATGGCCTCCAACTTGCAAGATGGGTTAATAATATTTACTGGTCACTAGCCTGCTTGGCTTGTTGGGAGCATCAATATTTCAGACAAGGTAGAAGAGGTTTTACTTAATTCCTTAAATACATAATCAGGTCTGTTATGTCCCCTGTGTTAGTGTGTAAGCTTGTGCTTGAAGCTGTTACGGGTGCACTATACATCCTTCGTAGTTAGGTGCAGAACTTTTCAGCCAGCCCTCGTATGTGCTTTATTTTGCATTTTGTCACATGGTACATTGAATGAGAAAATCTGCAAAAATGAATATAAATAAATATATTTTTCAAGCCTAAATGTGTATGCACAAATATGAATAAGTAGTTTCTTTGAGAAAGCCTTCTACTGCAACGTTTGCTTCATGTATTTCAACCTGTTTGTTTCCTAGCCTGATAGTTATCACTGGATGTGTGAAGGTGAGTATGGAGACGGATGGCTGTCCCCACTGCTGAGTCCTTCTGTGTCTTAGTATACATGGTCCCTGCAACCTTGGTTCTGTGAACACACACTTGTAAGACAAACACCCATAGTGGCTTCTCACATCTTCGGCATTTTTTAAACTCGGGTTGGAATTCCCTTACAGAACTTGGCCTTGGTTAACCCATGAGGTAGAATACCTAGGACATTGTCAGGTCAATAACCCATGATTGTCACCCATAGGGATTCTGAGGTAAAATAGGCATGTATACTCCATGCTGTTAAGAGTTGGGAATTACCATTAAGAATAAGCCTCTATACTCTATGCTGTGAAGATTTGGGAATTACCATTAAGAATAGGCCTAAATACTTCATCCTGTGAAGAGTCGAGAACTCCCATTAAGAATAGGCCTCTATACTCTATGCTGTGAAGATTTGGGAATTACCATTAAGAATAGGCCTAAATACTTCATCCTGTGAAGAGTCGAGAACTCCCATTAAGAATAGGCCTCTATACTCTATGCTGTGAAGATTTGGGAATTACCATTAAGAATAGGCCTCTATACTCTATGCTGTGAAGATTTGGGAATTACCATTAAGAATAGGCCTCTATACTCTATGCTGTGAAGATTTGGGAATTCTCATTAAGAATAGGCCTCAATATTCTATGCTGTGAAGATTTGGGAATTACCATTAAGAATCGGCCTCTATACTCTATGCTGTGAAGATTTGAGAATTCCCATTAGGAATACCGGTAGGCCTCTATACTCTATGCTGTGAAGATTTGAGAATTCCTATTAAGAATAGGCTCAATACTCTATGCTGTGAAGATTTGAGAATTCCCATTAGGAATACCGGTAGGCCTCTATACTCTATGCTGTGAAGATTTGAGAATTCCTATTAAGAATAGGCTCAATACTCGTAAGAGGTGGACATTCCCCAGGGGCACTAATCTCTGGCTTCTTCCCGGCTGTCTAACACAGCCCACAAGGGCTCACTAGCTGCCGTGAGTCTACTAGTTCGGTAACGCAGCTGATCGTGACAAGAGACTGGGCTACCGTCTGTAACGACAGCGTAAATAAACTTTGAGGCAATATCTACACACATTTCTGAACACTGATTGGTTACCCGTGATCTATAGAGTGTTGATACTGCAAAGGGCTCATGTTGATTAATTTCTTCAACCTTAACAAACAGACAAAATGAAAAGTGGAAGCTCATTGGTTGTCGTGATTATGAAATACCCCTGACTGTTATAGTATCCCTGCAGTGAAACATTTTCGCCTTTCGGATTGCATGGATAATAAGATTACTACACCTTTGTTGTCACCTATGTTTTGTAGTATAACCCCACGTGTGTATTTGTCGTCATAATTTGGTATAATTAGTGATAGAATTTTAGTCATTTTGCACACTGACTATAACATATACACCTGATAAAATAAGCAATGCTGAGGTGAAATATTTAGTTTGTGTCACATGTCTAAATAGTGTAAACGAAAAGGATACCAAGCAAGTGACTTATCAAAACTTAGTCACCATTGCCGATGCTACCCCAAAGTTATACCGGTACCTACACTTCCTTATTATTTCCAAGACAAAACTGTATTTCATTTTGTTGATCAATGTGATGGTACGCCTTATGCTATCAATAAAAGCGAGAAATGCGCTTACAGTTGGCACAGCAAAGTTCACGAACTTGTTGAGATTTCTGGGATATTATCCGGGTATCCATGGGAAAAAAACAGTAACATACGCAAGAACCAGTCCTGGTGAATTGTCAGAGATTAACGCCCCTTTTAAGAATACGCCCTTATGCTATCAATAAGAGCGACAAATGCGCTTTCATTTGGGGCTGCAAAGTTCACGAACTAGTTGAGATTTCTGGGATATCATTCGGGTATCAATGGGGGAAAAAACAATAACAAACGCAAGAACCAGTCCTGGTGAATTGTCAGAGATCTGTGCCCCTTTTAAGAATATCCTACAATTATATATAAATTCCATGTCTACATCACTACCAGTGATTCAGGAAGACAGCTGAAGTTTTAACTCCTTAGCAGAATGACTTTCTAATCAATAAATTTATGATTGACATAGCTATATTTTTTTTATTATTCTTTTATTTCAACCGGCCTTGTGTCGAAAAGCTAGAATAAATCACTGAAACATAAAATTTAAAAAGTGTGGCCTAACAGTTTTTTTTACAGTAGTATACCCGTTAGAAAAAAGAAAAAGAGGATAAACCAATTCAATATTTTTGTACTTTTCTCTTCCACTACAGGTTGTCTGGTGTAAAAAAAAAATAAAACATTTAATGTGGGACGTGAGCCTGCAACACTGTTGTTGCTTTAAACAATGCAGTGTCAGTGAGTATGGTTTTACGCCGCTTTTAGCAATATTCCAGCAATATCACAGCGGAAGACACAAGAAATGGACTTCACACATTGTACCCATGTCGGGAATCGAACCCGGGTTTTTGGCGTGACGAGCGAACGCTTTAACCACTAGGCTACCCGACCGCCCTTTAAGCAATGCAAACCTGTTGAGTCAAACTGGGAATATTGTTGTGCATCTATGCATCCTATCAATTTCAGGAACAACAACAAACTTTATTTTGACTCTGATGTTCAATATATATTAACCTCAATGGGTCCTTGTTAAGAAAATATTTTTGGGTGCGATATGCTATCAACTTATCGACGGGATATAAAAAAGCTTATCCTGTAAAAAATATTTTAATTTCAACAAAATTTACAGGCCGCGGATCCGTAGAACAAGTTATAAAGTGTGGCTTTGACATCATCCAGTCTTATGAAACAAAGTGTTTCAGTAAAATATCACAACCTTATATCACATGGAATGGGAGATATTTAGTTGGCATTATCTCTTCAGCGGTTTGGAGACCTCCTCTGTGGTCTAGTGGTAGAGAGTCCGCCCGGAGAGCAGAAGGTCCGGGGTTCGATCCCCCGACCGCGTCATACCAAAAGACGTTAAAAGATGGTACTTGTTGTTACCCTGTCTGGCGCTCGGCATTAAGGGGCTAAAACAAGGACTGTTCGGCTCGGAGTCAGTATACTGTGTCTGAGTGGGGTATTCATGTTAAACTGCGGCATGGTTTCCCAGTGAGCTAGCACTATAATTCGGCATCAGGCCGGACTAGTACAAGCAGCCACACACACACACATACACGTGCATGCATGTCACTATATAAGTGCAGTAATCTTGGACGTGACGTTAAACCCCATTTCACCTTCACCTTCACCATGCAGTTTTGTTCCTAATATCTTGCCTCTGGTTGAATATCTTTTGTTAACAGAACTACCATATTGCTCAAAGTATTAATTACTCCTTTGCTTCCTAACTGAAAGACAATATTTTGAAATTAATAGCTGAATTCATATTTTTTATTTTACACCATGTATCAATCTCGCTGTCTCAAAAACCTGTTTTGTGCTTTCAGTTGATTTCCTTCATGTAAATTTCAGTTTATAAGTGATATGTGGTTTGTTTGTGTGTGTGCATATATTGGGGCACCCAGTGGTCTAAGGGCCACAACTTCCAAGTACTGTGCAGAGTTGCATCCCTTTGCCATACCTGGATCCACTGGTCATGGTTCGAATCCCAGATTAGCTGTACCTGTTGCTGGGGTTTTCACCATTTTACTTTTTCAAATTGACATAATTCACTCACTGTACATTTATGTCTTTTTGGGCATGATAATTTTGTTCACCATTTCTAGCAATTTTTGGTTCTGCAGACTATTATTGTTGTCACACGATCTTTCTTTTGACGCTGTACATGAACTATCAGCCCCAGGAAGATTTCAGGCCAGAATTAGTCTTCAGCAACCCATACTTGTCACAAGAGGCGACTGACAGGATTGGGTGGTCTCACTTGGATGATGGATATCATCATGTCCCAATTGCATAGATGGATGCTCATGATGTCAATCACTGGATTGTCTGGTCCAGACTTATTATTTACAGACAGCAGTCATATTGCTAAAACTTTGCTGATCACAGCATTAAACAACAAACAAGCAAAACATGAACTATCATTCCCTTAGTATGCATATCCTATCTCTGTAAGATTGGATAAATGCATCTCTTTGGTGTCACATGTATGTTTCTATGGTTTCTTGACAACAAGATGCGTGGCACTACAACTTGCTGCACACAGTTGCCTCCCTTGGCCATGTCTGGATCCTCTGTTCATTGGTTTGAATCCCAGATTTACCCCGATTATATGAGATTCTTGGTCTGTCATCATACCTGTGCTTTAGGATTTCATCAAAGGAGTAAACATTAATGGCTACCTCTTGTGACATGCTGTGATAAAATTGAAATACTGTTCAAAGCAGCACTTTCTCTCCCTCAGCAAATGAGGAGATTTGTCTAGACATATATGCAAGGTTTGATTAAGTGATGTTGATAGTGTTGTTCAAATTAATTGATGATCCATTGTTTACAGTTTCCAACCGAGCAATTATTGAATACATCATGAAATCTGTTATTTAATTTCCAATCATACTTGTTCATTCATTTTATTGAATTTATTTGTGATAATAAGTGGAGTATCACGTATAAAAACACAACAGGCTGACAACAGTCATTGCAGTGTTTCTTACTGGAAGTTTTTGTTTTGCAGAGTATAATAAATAGCTGAGTGTGTTTCCATATCATACATTTTCTATATTATTACCTACGAGGGCAAACATATCAGGGTTCATAAAAAGCATATGTGCCCTAGGGTCATATCACGTCACAAGACCCCAGTGTATTATCAAGTTGGTTCCTATATTTAATAAGGCTGAAATAAATATGATAAATTCATTATTACCCGAACTCTCCAGACAAAGAGGGGGCAGTGGCGTAGCCTAGTGGTTAAAGTGTTCGCTCGCCCCGCCGAAGACCAGGGTTTGATTCCCGACATGGGTACAATGTGTGAAGCCCATTTCTGGTGTCCCCCGCTGTGAAATTGCTGGAATATTGCTAGAAGCGGCGTAAAACCATACTCACACTCCAGACAGAGAGATTCTACATATGTTTCCTGTCTTTTGATCTTGATGAATGACTCCACATTCTTAGGTCTACCAAATATTAACACTTCATGTGAAAATGTAAAAAGTTTTTTCAAATAAAAAAAGAGATGTGAAATGCTTCCTGCCTCAAAATTAAGAAATATTTGAGTATTATTTATTGCTGTTATGAAGTATACTGAGAAAAAATGTTTAATGACATTTCTCTTCTCAGTCAGGTTCATTACTTTTTTAAACCAAGGATTTTTTAACCAGTTCCCAACACTTGTCAGTGTTTTTTCTTTCAATGGGTTGGACTCTGTAAAACCAATGCAGGAATTTTGACTGAATCTTTCAGCCATTATTTCTATCATGTTAACACTGTAATCAGTCAGTCAGTAGAGCTATGTCCTTTTGTCTTCCATGGTGCAGACTTTCACAATTCAATAACAGCTTCGGTTTGCCTGTTGTCAGGTGCAATGTGGATTTGAAATATTCTTTTTATATAATTTTGAATACCGGCTGTTTAGTCAATTCAAGAGGTTTATCATCAATGTGTTTTTTAAATATTTTTTTTATAGATGTACCTTAATTTTACAAATGTAAAAAATAATATTAAATTTTGAATAGCTGTTTTGAATTGAAACTATTTTAACATTAGTTTGTTTTTGTGAAAAACATTTATCTAATTTTTTTATTTTTTTTGGTCTCAAGCCTGACAGCATTTTTATATCATTTTTCATCCTACCTCTTGGCATATTGACCATGGTTATTCATTAGAAAGGTAAGAATATTGGTCTGAACACGTAATCCCACTGCAATGTTGTAAGAGTTGTCTCCCTTGCATTGCAGGTGGCTCAAGTCCCAGGAAAGTATCCACGGGCCGACCAAGCAACAGTCTACAGAACAGGTGAAACGCTGCACCATTGTGTAGCTCCACTGCCTAGCTGCCTCTGTGTCATGGCGCCATGCCATGGCTGTCAAGGATCTATCAGTTCTGTGTAAATAGTGACCGTTATCAGCTGTGATATGTGACAATCTGTTTCATGTACTTCATACAGATCCTCATGGAAGGATATTTATGTATCCAGAGCTGGGTGGCCTGGACACTAAATATGCTACACAGAAATTATTGATCAAGTGTATATCCATATCGTTTAAGTAATATAACTAAATACATACATTGTGTAATAAATGTGTTTATTTTATTTCTAATATATGATATTTACAAAACGGAAACACATGATGCATTCTTATCATACCGTATTCGACATAATAATCGCCCCACTGTAATAAGCGCCCACTGCGATATTTGCTGATATATTGGCTAGTGAACAATCCCAATTAGCACCCCTTCCGATCGATCAATGTACACAAGACTTATTTATTCGCTTATAATATGCACTCGTGTGTTATATGCACCCTTTATTATGGGCATTTAATTCTGAAAAAATATATCTGTTGTACATAAACATTTCAGGCTGTCAGCATAAATCACGAAATTTATCTTTCAACTCCAAAATTTTCACCAAAATAATATTCAAGTAAGAGCCCCCTATTTCTAATTTTGAGAGCGCCCTGGGCGCTTATTACGTCGAATACGGTAATTGAAAATCAAATGTTCTCTCCCTTGGCTGATTCGACCTGTGTCACCAGTACACCACAGAGCAGCTGTATTCATAAAGGGTGTGTACAAATCCATGAACTATTGACGATGGATTACTTCCAGACAGGTATTTCGACAGACAGATCAGAGGTTCCTCCCAGTTTTTGCCAGTCACAAGCAAACCTGTCCGTGAATTCTCCATCAAAATCACACAAACACATTACAAAATTTTAGTATTTTAGTTTGGAGCCCTCTTTTAAAACTTCTGGATCTATCTTGAAATCTCTACCTGTTTCATATTGAAGCATATATTGTCAATCAAAACAGAAGTGTTATGAGGGTCAGATGGAATGCAGCTTACACATTAAGATTTGTTACTTCCAGAAACTTAATAGAGCCGTTAAATATGACAATGTATTGAGAATATTTTGCCGTTTTTATCTTATACTTTTGTCTTTAAATGTATGTAATAATATTGTAGGTGCTTGTGGAATTGGGATAAGATTTTATGATGCAAGTGCCTGTATCCAACTGCAATGGTAAAGTAATGCTTCCAAATCATAGGCAAGGTGTCGTGTTATCATGGCTTTTGCCAGTCTTGTTTGTCTGAGGCCACTCTGTGTTATTGTTGACAGATGTTTTGCTTACAAGTTAGCTTGGCTCGATTGGTCAAAATATACAAACAAAGGGACAAAGAAGGATAAGAACTTTTTGGGGTCATATGCAATATCAAATTATCAATCTACAGAAAAGTTCAAGATATTGGTGAACAATTATTTTAAATCTAATATGGATGACAAGTTGGCAATTTTCTTAATTAAACATGACTGTCTACATCTTCTTTGAAGGTCAAAGGGTCAAAGACTGTTCATGTTGAAAACTAAGAAAAAACATATAATCAGTTTCTTGGACATATTTTAGTCCTACCAATACATGTAGTGATATCAGAAGTCCCAAACCTGCAAATGTTCTAATTAATTTTGCAAAGATTAATAATTTTATTTGAAATTGAATAAGCATGGTACTGGTCATTTATTGCAGGGGAGGTGGGGCCGGTGAGATTAAGAGAGGAGTGGGATGGTGGGTCATGAAAACATGACACAGTTCTATTTTTTTCAAATCAAAAAAAATTTGAATATGATTTAGGGACTGTAAAAATGTTACATAAAATGGGGGGTCAGTAAAGTATGATAGAGTCTTGAGACTATGCAGTCTTAACTTGCCAGTACTGATTCCATGATCAATGTTCATGTATGTGGTGTAAATATAGAGGCATTTGTGATATTGTGCATGTTGTGATATGTACGTGCCTTATTACTCAGCCATCCGGCACACTTTTATTTGATTCATTTTTTAAATGTACTTTATTATTTTTCTTATTCATAAATGATAGAGTATTTAGGCAAATAATGATATGCAATGGGTTTTTTCTGCATGTGGCTTTTGGCTCTCAACGTTCAAATCCATAAACAGAAAAATAAGAAACATTGTTGCCTGACTGTTACCAGTTGTTTGTACCTCGAAGTGCAGCTGTTGGGCTAACAAACGCCAAATATAATTGTTGAAGCTCACCTAAACATCCATCTTGAAAACAGTTTCTGTTATACATGTTATGAATTACAAAACATCTGATTTCAGAGGGGCGGTCGGGTAGCCTAGTGGTTAAAGCATTTGCTCGTCATGCCAGAGAGGGAGTGTGAGTGAGTTTGATTTTATGCCGCATTTAGCAATATTCCAGCAATATCACAGCTGGGGACACCAGAAATGGGCTTAACACATTCTACCCATGTCGAGAATCGAACCCGGGTCTTCGGCATGACGAGCAAACGCTTTAACCACCAGGCTACCCGACTGCCCCACTGCATGCTAGTAATGTATTGGGGGCGATATCAGTGTGTTTACACGTTGTACAGATTGCCAAGGTCGATATGATGCGAGTGGCAAAGAGAAGATTTGTTGTTTTGAGGTTAATTATTGGGGAATTCAGGAGCTGGGGAAGGAGACAGACATGTTCCAAATTTAATGTTTAAACATTTTGTTTTTCTTTTGCAAACTAGTCCTAGTCTATTGATCAGAGTGACCATTCTCCATTTCTGGCACTCGTACCGCAATGTCCAGTAAGTTTGACCAGCGACATTGGGGGAGGTACATGGGGCATTCAAGCTGAAACTCCTGCCAGATAGACCTACAGGCGTTTGGTTCCTTGGGTTTGTGGTGTATTGGAAATTTGATAATATGTTATCCTCTGTTGAAGGAAATTCTGTGTATATAAGGTCACAAAACATTCCATCCAACTGTTTTTTAATCTTATTTTCTTTTTGGTGATGCCAGTATGGTATGGTATATGTAAGTATTGTGCTTATTAAATTGAAAAGTCTCAGATGGGAATTTTAAAATCAGAAAGTCTGGATGTTCAAGAAATTCTTGTTTAACAAGATTTCTAAGTTTGCCAGACCTGATTTAGAAGCACTATTGTTTGCTGTTGTGAGTCCGTCCATGACACTGTGTTTTAGTGATTTGCATGCTCTATATTTGCAGTTTATTTTGATTTGACTATTATTTCAAACTACAGTGAACTACGGTTATAACGAACTGAAAGGGACCATTTTAGTTTGTTATAACCAGAGTTCATTATAAGCAAATGGCAGGGACCGAAAAAAATGGTTGTTATATCCGTCAAGCGTGTTCGTTTATAACATATTTTACCAAGTAGACACAATTTTTGGAGAACAATTTCTTTAATACTGTAAAGGCGACGTTTTGGTATAGATCTATACCGGAACGTCGCCTTCACACTATTGAAGAAGTCGTTATCCATAAATTGTGTCTACTTTGTCATCCGTCAACTTCCAAGTAATGTCTATCAAACAATTCACATATTTTACTGTATAATTTATTTTATATATTCTTAAGCCATGTCACATGCGCACCATGTTTGAGATTTATGCATGCACATTACATTTCTTTATTGAGTCCACACATTGTTTTATTACAGGTATAATGAATGGTATTGTGTCATATAATGTATTTCAAGGCCACCGGGGGGCGGTCGGGTAGCCTAGTGGTTAAAGCGTTCGCTCGTCACGCCGAAGACCCGGGTTTGATTCCCGACATGGGTACAATATGTGAAGCCCATTTCTGGTGTCCCCCGTCGTGATATTGCTGGAATATTGCTAAAAGCGGCGTAAAACCATACTCACTCACTCACTCAAGGCCACCGGCTTCTCCAGCTGTTCAGGGACACCTTCTGTTGGCAGCCGATTTCCATGTGTTTTTGACTGTTATTTTGCATAATGTTATTGTTTTGTCGACTGATGACTTTGTGTGAACATTTTCAAGCAATGGATGGATTATGAATCATGCCTATAATTCATGTAATAAATTCATTGAATAACATTACCATATCTGTGTTCTATCTCCATCTTGCTATTTAATTTGACACTTTTAGGATAAAAAATGCCTGGAAATCCTAGTGACAGATGAGCAGTCATGGAGAATTTTCATCTCTAAAACAGTTTGTTTGTTTGTTGTTTAACACAGCACTCAGCAATATTCCAGCTATATGACCGAAGTCTGTGAGTAATTGAGTCTAGACCAGACAATCCACTGATTGACATCATGAGCATCGATCCATGCAATTGGGATAAGATGACATGCATCAACCAGGTCAGCAAGCCTGACCACCCGATGCTGTTAGTCGCCTCTTACGACAAGCAGAGTCGCCTTTTACGGCAAGCATGGGTTGCTGAAGACCCATTCTACCCCGGATCTTCACGGGTCCTGAACAGTCGCTTCGTGGTCAAATGAAAAGAGCACCTGCGCGGGGAATGGAAAGTCGGTGGTTTGATCCTCATACCAGTCGTTAAATGATGGTACTTTTTGTTACCCTGCCTGGCGCTCAGCATTGAGGGAAGAAAACAAGGACTGGTCAACTTAGAGTCAGTATACCATGTCTGAGTGGGGTATCTCAGTAGGTTAGCGCAATAAAACCAGTATTGTGTGGACTAGTGTACAGAGACACCTACACCACACACATCACAACTTTAGCGCAATAATCTTGAATTATTGTTCACCCCTTTTTACCTCATCTCACCTGTAAAAAGATTTGTATCTAAATATATATTGCTGTCAATGAGATATCTGGATTTTGGACAAATACAGAATCTCAACCTGGTGTCTTTTGATATCAAATATATCAACAACCGTTGATAAGAGTGGAGTTTTTGCACTTTTATCAATGAGGGTTGACATATTTGATATCAAAAGACACAAATGTAAGATTTTATTTATCACCCAACATCATTCTTCCAACTTTTTTCAGTTTGTAGACTGTAATAAGCAGTGTCTTAAGTGTAAAAAGTACTGCTAACAGCTTCAGTAGCAGAGCCATTAGTGATGTCATTTGATTGTGACATCATGGTAACCAATGACATCACTATGGTCTGTAATACATTGTGATGCAATTTCATTGCAGCGATATCTACAATGTAGATATCGCTTGATTTCACCCAAGCCATATCTCCTGTGGGAGCCAGTTTGGGATGATAAATGAGAATAATAACTAAATAGTTATGATAACACATTGCTACACAACTAAATGTGTCAATCATAGGTGAAAGCTAAAAGATGTGTGCTATTCAAAAGAAGTTAAAGATTAACTATAGTCATGAAAAAACTGAGGGGTCTTTAACTTCTTTTGAGTAGTATAGTCTTTATCAAATCAGAACCACAGTTTTCTTTGCACCCGGCAAACATTTGAGAAAGTTACCAAATT